CCTTTAAGATTTCGGAATCCTTGGGTCGCTTAGCATCGTAGCGTTCTCCTTTCACGGTGACGAAATATTGCTGGTTCATAGTCTTGCCTGCGAAGGACCCATCGCCATTCAGGATTTCTGAATCCTTGGGACGCTTCGTGTCGTAGCGCTCTCCTTTCACGTTGACAAAGTCGTGCTGATTCACGGTCATATCGGCGAAAGAACCATCGCCCTGTAAAATCTCCGAGTCCTCTGGACGTATGGTATCGGAGCGTTCTCCCTTCACTGAGACATACTCTTGTTGATTCATGGTCTTGTCGGTGAACGATCCATCACCCTTCAGGATTTCGGAATCCTTAGGTCGCTTGGCATCATAGCGCTCTCCTTTCACCGTGACGAAATCTTGCTGGTTCATAGTCTTGCCAGCGAAGGATCCATCACCCTTTAAGATTTCGGAATCCTTGGGCCGCTTGGCATCGTAGCGTTCTCCTTTCACGGTGACGAAATCTTGCTGGTTCATAGTCTTGCCTGCGAAGGACCCATCGCCATTCAGGATTTCTGAATCCTTGGGACGCTTCGTGTCGTAGCGCTCTCCTTTCACGTTGACAAAGTCGTGCTGATTCATGGTCATATCGGCGAAAGAACCATCGCCCTGTAAAATCTCCGAGTCCTCTGGACGTATGGTATCGGAACGTTCTCCCTTCACTGAGACATACTCTTGTTGATTCATGGTTTTGTCGGTGAACGATCCATCACCCTTCAGGATTTCGGAATCCTTAGGTCGCTTGGCATCATAGCGCTCTCCTTTCACCGTGACGAAATCTTGCTGGTTCATAGTCTTGCCAGCGAAGGATCCATCACCCTTTAAGATTTCGGAATCCTTGGGTCGCTTGGCATCGTAGCGTTCTCCTTTCACGGTGACGAAATCTTGCTGGTTCATAGTCTTGCCTGCGAAGGACCCATCGCCATTCAGGATTTCTGAATCCTTGGGACGCTTCGTGTCGTAGCGCTCTCCTTTCACGTTGACAAAGTCGTGCTGATTCATGGTCATATCGGCGAAAGAACCATCGCCCTGTAAAATCTCCGAGTCCTCTGGACGTATGGTATCGGAACGTTCTCCCTTCACTGAGACATACTCTTGTTGATTCATGGTCTTGTCGGTGAACGATCCATCACCCTTCAGGATTTCGGAATCCTTAGGTCGCTTGGCATCATAGCGCTCTCCTTTCACCGTGACGAAATCTTGCTGGTTCATAGTCTTGCCAGCGAAGGATCCATCACCCTTTAAGATTTCGGAATCCTTGGGTCGCTTAGCATCGTAGCGTTCTCCTTTCACGGTGACGAAATCTTGCTGGTTCATAGTCTTGCCTGCGAAGGACCCATCGCCATTCAGGATTTCTGAATCCTTGGGACGCTTCGTGTCGTAGCGCTCTCCTTTCACGTTGACAAAGTCGTGCTGATTCATGGTCATATCGGCGAAAGAACCATCGCCCTGTAAAATCTCCGAGTCCTCTGGACGTATGGTATCGGAACGTTCTCCCTTCACTGAGACATACTCTTGTTGATTCATGGTTTTGTCGGTGAACGATCCATCACCCTTCAGGATTTCGGAATCCTTAGGTCGCTTGGCATCATAGCGCTCTCCTTTCACCGTGACGAAATCTTGCTGGTTCATAGTCTTGCCAGCGAAGGATCCATCACCCTTTAAGATTTCGGAATCCTTGGGTCGCTTGGCATCGTAGCGTTCTCCTTTCACGGTGACGAAATCTTGCTGGTTCATAGTCTTGCCTGCGAAGGACCCATCGCCATTCAGGATTTCTGAATCCTTGGGACGCTTCGTGTCGTAGCGCTCTCCTTTCACGTTGACAAAGTCGTGCTGATTCACGGTCATATCGGCGAAAGAACCATCGCCCTGTAAAATCTCCGAGTCCTCTGGACGTATGGTATCGGAGCGTTCTCCCTTCACTGAGACATACTCTTGTTGATTCATGGTCTTGTCGGTGAACGATCCATCACCCTTCAGGATTTCGGAATCCTTAGGTCGCTTGGCATCATAGCGCTCTCCTTTCACCGTGACGAAATCTTGCTGGTTCATAGTCTTGCCAGCGAAGGATCCATCACCCTTTAAGATTTCGGAATCCTTGGGCCGCTTGGCATCGTAGCGTTCTCCTTTCACGGTGACGAAATCTTGCTGGTTCATAGTCTTGCCTGCGAAGGACCCATCGCCATTCAGGATTTCTGAATCCTTGGGACGCTTCGTGTCGTAGCGCTCTCCTTTCACGTTGACAAAGTCGTGCTGATTCACGGTCATATCGGCGAAAGAACCATCGCCCTGTAAAATCTCCGAGTCCTCTGGACGTATGGTATCGGAGCGTTCTCCCTTCACTGAGACATACTCTTGTTGATTCATGGTCTTGTCGGTGAACGATCCATCACCCTTCAGGATTTCGGAATCCTTAGGTCGCTTGGCATCATAGCGCTCTCCTTTCACCGTGACGAAATCTTGCTGGTTCATAGTCTTGCCAGCGAAGGATCCATCACCCTTTAAGATTTCGGAATCCTTGGGTCGCTTGGCATCGTAGCGTTCTCCTTTCACGGTGACGAAATCTTGCTGGTTCATAGTCTTGCCTGCGAAGGACCCATCGCCATTCAGGATTTCTGAATCCTTGGGACGCTTCGTGTCGTAGCGCTCTCCTTTCACGTTGACAAAGTCGTGCTGATTCACGGTCATATCGGCGAAAGAACCATCGCCCTGTAAAATCTCCGAGTCCTCTGGACGTATGGTATCGGAGCGTTCTCCCTTCACTGAGACATACTCTTGTTGATTCATGGTCTTGTCGGTGAACGATCCATCACCCTTCAGGATTTCGGAATCCTTAGGTCGCTTGGCATCATAGCGCTCTCCTTTCACCGTGACGAAATCTTGCTGGTTCATAGTCTTGCCAGCGAAGGATCCATCACCCTTTAAGATTTCGGAATCCTTGGGTCGCTTAGCATCGTAGCGTTCTCCTTTCACGGTGACGAAATCTTGCTGGTTCATAGTCTTGCCTGCGAAGGACCCATCGCCATTCAGGATTTCTGAATCCTTGGGACGCTTCGTGTCGTAGCGCTCTCCTTTCACGTTGACAAAGTCGTGCTGATTCATGGTCATATCGGCGAAAGAACCATCGCCCTGTAAAATCTCCGAGTCCTCTGGACGTATGGTATCGGAACGTTCTCCCTTCACTGAGACATACTCTTGTTGATTCATGGTCTTGTCGGTGAACGATCCATCACCCTTCAGGATTTCGGAATCCTTAGGTCGCTTGGCATCATAGCGCTCTCCTTTCACCGTGACGAAATCTTGCTGGTTCATAGTCTTGCCAGCGAAGGATCCATCACCCTTTAAGATTTCGGAATCCTTGGGTCGCTTAGCATCGTAGCGTTCTCCTTTCACGGTGACGAAATCTTGCTGGTTCATAGTCTTGCCTGCGAAGGACCCATCGCCATTCAGGATTTCTGAATCCTTGGGACGCTTCGTGTCGTAGCGCTCTCCTTTCACGTTGACAAAGTCGTGCTGATTCATGGTCATATCGGCGAAAGAACCATCGCCCTGTAAAATCTCCGAGTCCTCTGGACGTATGGTATCGGAACGTTCTCCCTTCACTGAGACATACTCTTGTTGATTCATGGTTTTGTCGGTGAACGATCCATCACCCTTCAGGATTTCGGAATCCTTAGGTCGCTTGGCATCATAGCGCTCTCCTTTCACCGTGACGAAATCTTGCTGGTTCATAGTCTTGCCAGCGAAGGATCCATCACCCTTTAAGATTTCGGAATCCTTGGGTCGCTTGGCATGGTAGCGTTCTCCTTTCACCGTGACGAATTCTTGCTGGTTCATAGTCTTGCCTGCGAAGGATCCATCACCCTTCAGGATTTCTGAATCCTTGGGACGCTTCGTGTCGTAGCGCTCTCCTTTCACGTTGATAAAGTCGTGCTGATTCACAGTCATATCGGCGAAAGAACCATCGCCCTGTACAATCTCCGAGTCCTCTGGACGTATGGTATCAGAACGTTCTCCCTTCACTGAGACATACTCTTGTTGATTCATGGTCTTGACGGTGAACGATCCATCACCCTTCAGGATTTCGGAATCTTTAGGTCGCTTGGCATCATAGCGCTCTCCTTTCACCGTGACGAAATCTTGCTGGTTCATAGTCTTGCCAGCGAAGGATCCATCACCCTTTAAGATTTCGGAATCCTTGGGTCGCTTAGCATCGTAGCGTTCTCCCTTCACGGTGACGAATTCTTGCTGGTTCATAGTCTTGCCTGCGAAGGATCCATCACCCTTCAGGATTTCTGAATCCTTGGGACGCTTCGTGTCGTAGCGCTCTCCTTTCATGTTGATAAAGTCGTGCTGATTCACAGTCATATCGGCGAAAGAACCATCGCCCTGTAAAATCTCCGAGTCCTCTGGACGTATGGTATCGGAGCGTTCTCCCTTCACTGAGACATACTCTTGTTGATTCATGGTCTTGTCGGTGAACGATCCATCACCCTTCAGGATTTCAGAATCTTTAGGTCGCTTGGCACCATAGCGCTCTCCTTTCACCGTGACGAAATCTTGCTGGTTCATAGTCTTGCCAGCGAAGGATCCATCACCATTCAGGATTTCTGAATCCTTGGGACGCTTCGTGTCGTAGCGCTCTCCTTTCACGTTGACAAAGTCGTGCTGATTCACCGTCATACTGGCAAAAGAACCATCGCCTAGTAGAATCTCCGAGTTCCCTGGACGTATGATATCGAAACGTTCTCCCTTCACTGAGACATATTCTTGTTGATTCATGGTCTTGTCGGTGAACGATCCATCACCCTTCAGGATTTCGGAATCCTTAGGTCGCTTGGCATCGTAGCGTTCTCCTTTCACAGTGACGAATTCTTGCTGGTTCATAGTCTTGTCGGCGAACGATCCACCGCCTTCCAGGACTTCGGAATCCTCAGCACGCTTGATATTGTACCGCTGTCCTTTCACTGAAACATACTCCTGCTGCCTAATAGTCTTATCGGTGAATAATCCGTCACCTTCCAAGATCCCAGAATCTTTGGGACGCTTGGTCTTGTGACGTTCTCCTTTCATTGCGATGTATTCTTGTTGATTCAATGTTTTTCCCGTAACTGGAACGTCGCTTCCAAATATTTCGGAATCCTTCGGACGCTTCATCTCGTAGCGGTCTCCCTTTACTGCAACGTATTCTATCTGCTTTACAGTCTTGCCAGTGAATGATCCGTCGCCTTTCAATAACTGAGAATCTTTAGAGTGTTTTGCGTTATGATGTCCAACAGTGTGTAGCGTGGGCTCTTGCTTTCGGCTATACCCAGCAACATGAATGTCATCTAACTCGGAGTCCTTGTGTCGTCTGTTATAAGCAACTTCTTTGGACACAAAAATCTGTTCCTGTTGGCCTTTTCCAGTTGTGGACCAGCCGTTAGCTATGTCCAAGTTTTTGTTCTCATCTTCCTGTTCCTTATTGTCATTTTTCATCTCTTTTTGGACCCTATTTCCTCGCGCATGAGCTTCATCTCTTGTTTTTCCCTTACTTGTAGGATATCCTATATGTTCTTCTCGTCCATCCTTTGCCGTGGAATCATGGTATTGTACATAACTGGGACCAGCATATCCGCGCACAAGATGCAGGTGTTTATTATTGCTGACACGTTTCTCATTTGACAGTCGCCCGTCCTCTAAAGTGGAGCCGATAACTGTTGCTTCCCTGTGTGCGTTACTGCCGACCTTCAATTGTACAGAGTTCTCATGAGTATCTTTTAGAATATCTCTTCCTCTACTCACAGTCATACGAGAGGTTTGCGACAATCTGGTGGTATTGCGTTTACTATCTCGCTCGTTCGCCAGCACTTTTGAGCTTTTTGTGTACCATGAATCTTCCCCTTTTACAGTCACATCTTCTGCTCCATTCACTTTTGGCAGCGCTACCTAAAATGAAATTCATTTGATTACGTCAACAGGCATACAATTCTTATTAGTGATTAACAAAATAGAAGTAGATGCTATTTTTTCAGTTGCCAAGCTACTATTAACTCTCTTTAGATTACTGCAGGTCGAACTCACCTTCGACTCCGCCTCCTTGCGATCTCTTGATAACTTCCGCTTGCCGCTGCCTTTGGGATCATCCGGTTCGCTTCCTGGAATTAAAAGATCACCAATTTCGCGTTGTTTTGAATATGGGTTGCTATGATTTGCGGTGCTTTTGTTCGTCAGTTTTTCCACATCTCGCTTACATGGTACATCGAGAAACTCAACCCTTCCACAAACAATGCTTATGTGGAAGGCACACTGAAATGCGCAGTTCTTCAACATACAATGTTTGTGTGTGAAGAATAATGCTCTTTTTCATAGTCATTCAAAGGACAGAGATATCAGCATCTTTGATACCTTCTGCAATGCGCCAATGTATCCTGCTTAATAGCTAAAGAGGCTACTGAATACGTAAAGGCTACTGCATGACGAAGGCGCAATAGCAGTATCACTTGAGCGGGCGCGAACTCGTCGCGCGCGTATCTTCACCGTTGTAAATCCTGCGCCTTATGCGCTTTGCGGCTAATAAAGCCGCATTCGCGCCCAAAGATATTGCGCGTAGTGACTGGGGGTGCAGCGGTGGCAAGACTGTGCTTATATCCCTCTAATTGCTCTGCCACCAATCTACCGTCTCTGGAGAGTAAAAGGTAGTTTGGCCCAGAAACAGAACCTTGGTCCGGCCTGGTCTTTGCGGCATATCATATCACTACACTCGTCTTATACCTAATATTGTCTAACAGACTGCGTAACGAGTCCCCTTTTCCGTTCCTTTTTCGTTTTTTGGCAATAACCATTTAACTACTCGCATCAGGACTTTGTGACACTTATGCTGCCTACAATCCGGCGTTTCTCCGACCGATCGAAGTCAAGCGTGATATTGCTTATGGTACGAGTCCCGCTCATACGGTTTGCTTCAAGGGGATTGGCGGCAAGGCGGGGCTGAGCCCAAGCAAGGCTAAGATATGATCGAGAGCACGCTCGCGAGAGAGACGCAGACTGCGTCGCGGGTGCGAGCTGTTGCCTTCCAACGTCAATCCCGTTGTATCAAAGGGTATACCCATTCGCGATATTTTGGGCAATAACCATTGTTAGCCAATGATCGAAAACTGCAATGTTGAAGAAAGCTGCCGATAGGCCTTGCTTACGGAACTTAAGCATAAGAAAAACAACAGTTCATGACCATACAGGATACAGCGCCCACTCTGCCAGACTTACGTTTTCCATTCTGTCAGGATCCGTTGTGGGTGATTTCGTCTAGTGGTTACTTTTTGGTGATTCCAAGGCCATATGCATGTCCTTCCGGCAAGAGAAGCGGCGTCCCCAATGATGAAAAAGCCGCAGATATGGGACGCCGCTCCCTTCGCCGGAAGGATGTTTATGTCAAGAAAGCTTATGCCATAATTTGTCTTTAGAGATACCAAAGGTAGTATTTATAAAGGGGCAACCAACATGGGCGATAACTTGTGCCAGCCATATGCGTTGTATAGGTCAATTAGGCCCGTAGGAGACCTCCGTCATTCCAGCTCGACTGAGGCTAAACTAAATTGATGTTAGGGCGCCTCAGCGCAGTGCCAAGGGAGCGATTGATCTGGAGCATATCGCTTTCTGAACGTTCGCGTTTTCATGGGTAGAACATTCTTGCCATTTGTGCATTATTAGTCAAGTGAATAAGACTACTGCTTTTCAGGCGGCAGAGCCGTGGTTCGACTGCGGCTAGCAGTACGATTTTTGCTACTTAGCCGGGCGACCTTTAATAGCGGCGCTGTCGAAAAAATCGATAATAGTCGCTATCAGAGATTTCACCTAGCAAACAACGAGATAAAACAAATGCGCTATATTTCGGCATTCATACGAGGAAAAATTACTTACCTTGGCGAAAAATGAATAGAAAGGTAAATTTACCTTCTTGTTATCTGAAGCGTTTTTTAGGAAAAACAAGCAACAACTGCAAGAAAAATGCACCTTTTTTTCGTCGCGCAATCAGCTGTTCATCGATCCTCACTCACCTAGACCCCCGAAATTGTGCAGTTTTGAAAGTTTTGCAGTGCAAAATAACGTCAGCTGCGGTGTCTCGTAAGATACTCGCGAGCAACTTACGAGACCTTTCTCTGTGGTCTCTTCTTTAGCACAGTATTTGCGTTATGTCATCGCCCGGCTATCTCCGATGACTCGATCGAGAGCTCTCCCTGCCGGGCTTGATCTGAAGCTCACCTGTCCGGTGACGTTCCATACTTACAGCAAGGAAAAGTGGGCGGTCCTCATTTCACCTGCCACCCGAAGCCTCATATGAGGGCCTCAGGGGAGGTCATTTCCCCTGACCGAGCTTTACTCCGGGGCATAATTTCCAAGTTCTATTTACGCTTTGATGTTACTTAGGAATTTGGAAGAAAAGCTGGGCGCTCGGTATGCCCCAATCTTCACTGCTTCAAGAAGACGACTGTGGTATAGGCGCGTTCATCCTCCTTGGTGGGACCTCACAGGAGAAGTATGTTATGCGATGCTTTGGGCAAAAAAAACATGTTGTGGGGTTTCTCAAAGTAGCTAGAAGAGTGTTCTTCTGCTTAGTAAACGTATACGACGGAGTAGTGCTATGTGTGGAGGACCGGTGCTCAATACTATAGTAACCAACTAGAAAATGGCCCAGTGTGTCATCAACATCAATGTATATACACTTTCACTGCACTTTCGCCCAGTCTTGTCACACACATTGTAGAAAATTCTACTGTTCAGCCCAACACGCGTAGCATTTCCTGGTCACCAGGGTCGAGCAAGAATTGTGGCACACAACCGCCGGATACGCCCCCCCCCCACACCAGCATTATCGTTTGCCTTCCGCATGCATGACATAAAGGCTCTCCCAAGCATAATTAGTAATGTATTCGTAATTATCATGTCAAATAACCCCCGTGGGCCAAGTTTTAGCGAATTCTGAGGGTTCCTAGCACATTGGACCACCCAATTGAAGTGGTTATTTCCAAACATGATTGATTACATTTCAACAGAGAATTAGCTGGCTCTACTCGTACAAACTACTCCCTATTTACTCCTATAATGAATTGTGTTTCAATTAGCCATCAAACTATGGACTTGGAAAAACAGGCCAAAATCTCGTATGTCCCAATTTTCGTTTTTGATAGCTCTGCTTTCACCAACTTTTACTCAAAGCAAAGCAGACGAATCAGGCCCAAACCACTTCTGTAAAAACTACGAGATTCAGGCTATCAAACGGTGTATATTTCGTTCGCTAAAATTTCCTATGGAGTTAAGTTAACGGGATGTGGCACAACCCCAGAAAAGCTGTGGCTGCCACACCTTTTTAGGAGTTGTGCCACACCCCATTCACTTACCTTCAAAGCATTCAAATAACTGTTTTTCCTATATAGTTGCTACTGCTGGACCTTCTTCCTTACATGTCAGGAATTTCTTTCGAAATTGTTTCTCCTAGGGCAATATATGGTCGTTATTCCTTACCTATGCAAACGAAAATTACTGCGAAAATACTGGATTATTTTAACATGCTAAGTCTGCGCTACTATGTTCTCGAGGGAAGGCGGCAAGAACAAGTGTATCGATAACCTAATCTCCTTAATTTTTACAAATGTGATCTGAGGTTTATTGGTCTTCTCTAGTCTGAGATATTGAAAGCGAAAAATGGGACAAACGAGATTTTGGCTTGCTCTTCATTCCGTAGTTCGGAGGTTATTTTCGGAAGTGAGATTTCTGAAGTGAGCAAAAAAGTAGTAGTACTTTGTATTTAGTGCAAAAAGAAGTAATTAACTCTCCTTTGGAAAAAGTTAGCTTCTTCCAAAAAGAACATCTCACCTGGGTGGCCTAATAATTGGAAACCTCAAAATTCGCTGAAACTTGGTCCACAGAGGTTATTTGGCGGGCTAGTTGCGGAAATGATTCTCTTATGCTTTTAGAGATTTTTTGTTATGCTTACTGTATGTATACGAGTAGGCCAAAACATCAATTCTGCATGATAGACCCATCTGACCTTGTTAACGAATATCATGCTATCGCTAACATCACCATCACCTCGATGACGACTCCCCTTCCTGACCCTTCAATACGACCCCCCCCCCAGGGCCCGGCGGGGATGGCGCTTTCCCAAGCTGGATATCGTTTTTGGCCCGAAAAAGCAAAGGGGAAGTCGTATCTTGGGGTCCGGGCTGAGCCCCGGACCCCAAAATGCGACTTCCCCTTTGTTTACCGATAAACAATGCACATATCATTCTTTATTCATCATTCCTTGTCGATGCTACTGTCCTATGAACTTAGATTCCAGCAGTGTGAAAAATCTGTGCTCCGATCGCTAGCCTGCCCGCAGGCGGGAATTCAATTCTTGTAAGAGGAAAATAACAAAATAGGCTCGTTTTCAATGCACAAGTAACGATATGGCACCAAATTCGCTGTATAGTTGGAGGACCATGAGCACAAAAAAATATGAAGAATTATGAGAAACTTATGTGAATTTAAAAAATGGTAAGTGTTTTTCGAAATTAGGTGGCTCCCGCGCCACCTGGGAGCCACCTGGGTGGCTCCCTGCTTCCCTTCACATAATTTCCCGGATTTCTTTACATGAATGTGGACTAGGTCGAAAGTATTACTATATGTTCAAATCCGCTTCCAAAACCAACAAGGCACCGCTTCGATACAGTCCCAAAATAGGGTTCGCAGCGTTATGATCGGCCTCGGAAAGCGCGCTCCAATCGCAATTGGTTATTGTAAATTGTAAAGTTTCGCAGCTGACTAATAAATGAGTAGTATCTTAGATATATAAACGTCAAAGTTTGTGCAAATCTTGACCCTATGTTTTTTATAGATTCCTTTGCGGATGAACCCACTGAGCTGAAACCTTGAAAACATATGTTTTCGGCCTCGGTAGATGGTTTTAAGCTACCCTTCAAAGCAATTCGTGGAATTTTTCTATAGATTTAATGATTTTTTGGCACCTTGCAAGGAAAGTGAACACTTACCAGCCGCTAACAAACTGCTTGCACATTTTGGTGTGAACAATGCAGTGAAGTTCATTTCCACTTTAAAATTAGAAGGTGCAGTCACTCCAATAAGCCTTTCTGGGGTAAGCTCGTGCAGGAGGGTAAGGAGGAGGGCTGCAGTGCAGTACTGATACTGCAGAAAAGGGGTGGAGAATATGGCCTAAAAGGACGGGAAGGTAGAAGGACAAAGTGTGGTTTTTGGCCATCCCCTCAAACGATGACCCGGGCTGGGCCAGGAAAGCCAGGTAGTACTACTATAATAAGCTCTGAGGCCGCCCATCTTATTATTTGTGTATATCTGTTTGTCAGAGACTTAAGGGGGTCAAAAATAGGGTCAAAGGGGAAGTCGTAAGAAATTTTGGCTTCAAAGGGGATATCGTTTTCAAAATTCTGAAATGCCACCTGCCGGGTCCTGGACCCTCCGGGTGGCGTGCAACACCCCACGCTTGATCTTGCTCGTCATCCTTGTCTTCGTCGTCACAGCTCATCCCATTGCCGAAGATGACTACCCAATGATCTACTTATCTGCACCCGCCTTTAGTCATCATTGTCAACTGTTGGTCATCCCACAGTAAAGAGTGATGCTAAGATATGAATAAGGTCGCCAGAGCGAAGATTTATGGCCAGTTATCATGTTCAATGTCTCCCCTTTGACTCTTATTCGTGTACCAGTTTTTGGCTTCCTACAAAGAGTGCTAACTATCAATAAAATGGCTGAAGCAATAGGATTTTTTTTATTCAAGCGACGCTCGTAATCTTCTAATCATTATTCTGTCCACATATCACAGAACCCTGAAAAGTCCGCTCTTGCTCCAAGTCTGCAAAATCAACAGTCAATAGTTTTGATGATGGGTATGTTTTATTCGTAATCATCACTATCTTACCATCCGCCTCTCCAGCTCGAAAACTACAAAGGAATCCCTAGACTGGAAGCAGTCAGTAACACTGGCACCCGAAAATTCATTCATCGTGCAAGGCGATAACGAGAATCGACCAAACGAAAATTCAAAAGTTTTGGACAACTTATAATAAAATTTATGTTTTTTATAGCCGGTACTCATGGATCTCCCCTCCCCTCAGCTGTAGGTTTAGTAGATCTGATATCCAATATGGTGCTTGGGATTTCGACAACTGGGCGTAAACAATGACCATGGTGCAAAAAACTTTCGCCGTGATGTTACACAAGATCAATTCACATCTTATATATAAAGCTGAATGTGTGTATGTATGTCTGTCTGTCTGTCTGTACGTATGTGCGGAATAGAAATTTTTATTTCTGAACCGATTTGGACCAAACTTGGCACACATATACTTCAGGGCGGGGAGCGTGTCATAGGCTACTTTTCGTTATCGATCGATGTCGATTTTATCGATTTTTATCGATTTTTTGCAGAGTTCACCTACGGAGCTGGGAGTTGGCACAGGGGGGTAAGTGGGTATGGCGATTCCGAACACAGTATTAGTTTTCGGAATTATCGATTACTTTTATCGATTCTATCGATTTTTTGCAAAGTTTGAGCTACAGGGCTGGGAGTTGACACGGGGGGGGGGGGGTAAATGAGCATGAGAATTCCGAATACAATATTAGTTTTCGGTAATACCTATTACTTTTATCGATTTTATCGATTTTTTCAAAACTTGAGCTGAAGGGCTGGGAGTTGGCACAGGGGGTAAGTGGGCATGCTGATTTTGAAAACAACACAGGGAACGGGAAATGAAGTGTAGAAGTGGGCACAGGGAAAGGCTGTACAGGGATGGGGATGGGACCTTTATTACAGTGTTTTGACGAGGCCGACCGGAGCCGGGTAAGCAAGCTAGTCCCCTATGAAAACTATCTAGCATACTAGTAGCCGCTGCCGCAATGCGGTACTTCAAAGGCTCACAAAATTGTTTAGGGATTTTTATCGAATAACAAGCCTTCCTCATCCCATAAAACTCCATACAGTTTTCAATCGACGAGAGAATTCCAACCCCATTATTTGAAGACCTCGTATAAGAACACGGACTGCATCTTTATATAGGGGCCTGCAGGATCGCGAGAGTCGGACGTGCGTACGGCCATTGCGCCGCGCACGTCGTATGTCACTGGGTCGTACTCGATTTAGGCTGGATATGTGAGATTTTTTTGTTTTTCTTCTCATTTCTCGCCTTCTTTTCTTTTCAGGCGGCGAACATATGTTGGTGCAGAGGAGTTTAAGATCTAGATTAAGGTGAGGTGCAGGATTATGCTCAATACGGGCCAATATTGTGGACTTTTCACCCCTGCTTTGAAGAATGTTGAGTTTTCTGTTCTGGCTGTCCGATTATGTTCGATTTTTCGTCCTGCCTGCCCGGTTACGAAACTCCGTTTTATTTGCAACGTCTGTTCTACCTCATCTTGCATCATGCGCGTCATCACAATCATAATCATTGTCATCATCATCATCATCATCACAAGCAATATGCAAGATAAGGTAGAATAGACGGTAGAAATAGAACAGTTTGCTGTAACAGGGCAGCCAGGACAGAAAATCCAACATCTCAACCAGCAGGCATGGAAGGTCTGCAATATTGAGTCCGTATTGAGCATAATCCTGCACCTCACCTTAATTCAGATCTTAAACTCCTCCGCACCAACATGTGCTCACCGTCTGAAAAGAAAAGAAGGCGTGAAATGTAAAGAAAAACAAAAAAACTTACCTATCTAGCCTTAATCGACTACGACCCAGCGATATCAGGCGTGCGCGGCGCAAAGGCCGTACGCGCGTCCGACTCTCGCGATCCTGCAGGCCCCTATACATTGTCTTTGGCCGCAGGTTCACACACGTCAGAAAGGAGGAGCACGCTTAAAGGCAGTGTCCGGGCAGAAACTCGACTTTCAAAAAAAAATCAACTTATCTGGGGTTATCCGCAACGCTGAATCCGAAAATCCACATCAGAAGGCGCGAAAACGGCGAGAACATGCATTTTCCAAGTCCTCACATTTCGAAATTTGGGGATCCCCGCCAGGCTAAGACGCAGAGGTTGCAAAGAGCGCACGGTTTTTAACTGTAGCGGCATATGTACTCTGCCGTCTGGCAGGAATTCAAACAACTCGGAGGACCCCGCCCCAAGGCGTAAGTTTCCCCAATTTGCAATCGTTTTTCTTGCTTTAGGTCGAACGTTTTATGCTCGCAGTTGCGCGATGTTGTGTCTCAGGGGGGCTACTTTCACATGGCAGAGAAATCTCAGAACCCCCATTTTGCCCGGACACTGCCTTTAAAGGCAGTGTCTGGACAAGGTGGGGTTTGGGATTACAGTGCCATGCAACGTTGGACCCCTGCGACACGCCATCGCGCAAGTGCGAGGCCATAACGCTTGACCACAACCAAGAAATATACTCGGGAAGCTGGGAAACTTATCTTGGGGCGGGGCTCTCGCCTGTTTGAATTCCTGTTATGCGGCAGAGTACGCATGCCGCCATAGTCAAAAAAGGTCCCACAGTGACTCTGCGTCTCAACCTTGCTGGGAACCGTCCAATTTCAAATTGTAAGGCTTTAAGAAGCGCATGTTTTTGCCATTTTCGGGACTTCTTAGGCTGCGTTCATACTGATCCCAAAGTTCGGGAACAGTTCCGCACAGCGATTAGTTCGAGCACTGTGCTGGAAGTGTTCCCGAACTTTCAGATCAGTATGAAGCAGCCTTAAGTGAATTTTCGGATTCAGCTTGCGGATAACCCCAGGTGAGTGGATTTCCCACAAATCGAGTTCTTGCGGACACCGTCTTTGAAGGCACCGTCCAGGCCTTCCAGACACGCTTTTTCGCTCCAAACTTCAAGGCCTTCTCATGTCCCTGATCCCGAATATGAGGTCGAATCCGCGAAAATCTCGACAATCCCCGTTCCGGAGAGCCCACAGGCTGGCTTTCTGGAACGGTGATTGGCTGGGCGCGCACGGATGCGCGGGCATGAATAGGAAGGGCGGTGCCGTCTGTGGTTCCTCGTGCATCTTCGTTATTTCGGAGCGATTTTCCCGTTTCCGAAGCGATCGCCGCGACTTGGGCATTGGCTTGATAGAGGCCCTACTGTCATATGCTGCCAAAAGCTCAAGACCCTCAACTTACAACTTATGGTGAACGGTGTCTTTAACGTGTTAATATATGAAGGGGAAACCTGCAGCCCGTCCAGGCGCAGTGCATGGGACTTGGGTAATGGCCTAATAAACATGATCTCTAGCTAAATCTCAACAAATCAATCTAATTCAAATTTGCCAAGCTTGCCTTTAGTAGAAGTGGGCACGCCTCTGCCTCTAATAGAAGCTAGTATATAATATAACATTTCTAAGAACTGATACGTTTTAAACTGGAAAGCATCAAGACCTACCATTCACAGCACATGATCTCTGCCGTTTCACAGCCTCGTTCTTGGAAGCTAATTCGCTTCTTGTTTCACTTTGAAAAATCTGAATCTTGAAATAAATATAACACTTCTTTTTCTTTCAAGGTACCAACCTGGGACGTTTGGTTTCTCCGCTTGAACGCTAAACTAGCATTATGTCGACTTTTAGCATCGTTCGATATGCTAGTCCCTTCGACACTAGCAGGAACGTGAGCGCTCACAGACGCCTGAAAGTAAGGACTGAAGAGCGATCTCAGCGCAGTTTCTAGAGGAATATAAACTACTGCTATATAACGAGGGATTGGTAAGAAATCGAAATAGCCAGTCCAAACGAGCTGCATACCATGATGCAACATAACTCGTTAACTTCGAACCTGTATTGCGCATCTGCTTAGCACTTATGTGGGCGAAGTTATGAGCCGTTAAGGGCCGTTCTTTTGCAAAGAAATCATACATGCAAAGCGCGGAAGTACAGAGCCATGTTCGGTTTAATGCTGGGCCAAAACATGCAGCTAAGTTACTTTATATTCATGGAGCCTAAAGGTGAAAGTGCAACAATGTGCTCAATTTCGCAATTTTTATGTACAATTTTTCGCAATAAAACTGCTCATAACTTCGTGCACAAAGGCGCTAAGTAGATAAAGGATTCAGATTCGAAATCAGCGTTAAATGCTGCACCGAGGGGTAGACAGCTTGATAGGATTGGCCACTTCAACTTCCGACCATTCCCTTGTAAGCCTTTTTTGCTTGCTTGTAAGTGGCATGCTCACAAGCAAGCGAAAACCTCCACATACGCGCGAATGCAAATTAGTGAGAACATTTCTTCGCACTCTGTCAAACATAACTTCCAAAAGGTGGCCCCGTGATTTGTCAGAGTGCCAGTCGCATGTATCTCGTTACATGCACCTTTCCAATGCAAAAATATGACAGGTTAATCGCGCACTATGCATTCAAAGTCAAAACCCAGTGCGAGGCAGTAGCGTACCGAGAGGGAGGGGGCGAGAGGGAGGAGTTTCTTAAAGTTGCTTAAATGTGTTATAAAAAAGTGCAAGCGACTTGTTTTTACTTGTTAATAATTATAGTAGTTTTTGAAAATTTTTAAAAATTCAAATAAGCCTTATACAAAATTTTTCGGGGGCGTGGCTGCTCCCACGCCCCTTTTTCAGAATTTTCGGGGTCGTAAGCTCGAAGAAATTTTGCTAAGCATACAATTTTTTCGGAAAGGGTGGCTACCGCCACGCACCTTCATCAGAAAAATTTTTGTCCCCCCTCCCCCCCCCCCCAAGAAGGGAAATCCTGGGTACGCCACTGTTACAAATGAAGGAGGCAAATCGCCAAATGCCACAGCAGAGGAGATCGCGATAGGTGCGCCAAGACGCCAAAGCTTAGTTAGAGTCGAAGCACGAAGTCGCCCGGGTGTCTAACGCGCGGTTGTCGAGTAGGGCTCGGCATGAGGTGTCTTTCCGAATATACAAAAAAAAACGAAGTCCCCTTGATTTTCGCAAAATTTCACGAAGTCCCCTTGGACCCAAAATCAAAATCGGAAACCTTGACAAAAACTAACCTGTGTTTTCTAGACCGCAAAAACGGTATCCCCTTTGCTTTTCTGTCCCAAGAACGATATCCAGCTTGCTTATGAGCCGCCTGTGCCGAGCCCTGCTGCCGAGTTGACTGGGGGTAGGGACTATCTGTCGCCGAAAGGGATGCCGCACGCGGACGTTCACGACAGACCACGCACCTCCACACATTATAGACATTGCAAATTTGTATCAGCTATTTGCGCGGGATGGAGCCTATCGCCGACATATAGTCCTTTACCTGATGACTGGGGGGGGGGGGGAGGGGAGTATGCTTAGCATTCGCGCGTATGAGTAATCACAGCGCCTTAAAGGCAGCGTCCAGGCAAGCCTGGACACATGGGGATCTCACGTGGATAGTAATTTTGGGGCCCTAACTAAGCCAATACCCAACCGGCAGCTCAGGTAGTGCTCTAACGGCTGAGATATACCCCTCGAAACTGGACCCCGGGATCGTATTTCGCATGGATTCATGACGCAAAGCGTGGATCCTGGCGCAAAACTGTCATGAATCCATGCGAATACGATCGCGGGGTTCAGTTTCGAGCGGAATATCTCAGCCGTTAGAGCACTACCTGCGCTGCCGCTTACAATGCCTTAGTTAGGACCCCAAAAGTACTTGCCACGTAAAATCCCCATAGGTCCAGATCTGCCTGGACGCTGCCTTTAACTTCCGGACGGCATTGTTCCACTTCATGCAACCCAAAAATGAAAAATCACGGATTTTGCTGTAAATTCTTTTAACCCATTGACGACGACGAGTGGCGGCGCTGGGGGAGGACGCGATTTTGCACAACACTTGCGATGTGGGGGAAGCTTTTGTGGTTGTTTGCAAGATGTAGATTGTTTTTTTTTGTGAACGATTGTCAACATTTTTTTGAACAACGGAGGCTACAGGACCCAAAAGCGCAAAAAATTGGAAAAAATCAGTATGTGGAAAAAATACTAGGCTTATAGGCCGGCCGCGTAGGGCACGGAGAGTGCGCAAGGTGTGTATTGCGCGTCACTCCTCTTCCTTCGTGCACTGTCGCTGCCTGTTTTCTCTGCGCTTCCACCAGTCATGAACTGCCTCGAATGGACGCAACAGCGTTGCTCTCCGAGCACAGCGCGGACGGCCTATACAGATGATATGATTTTCGGAGGTTGGGCCACCGGTGATCCACATCGTCGTCAATGGGTTATGGAGGCTATTCGACCTGCTGACCGTGGCTGATCACGAATAACGTATTGATTTCCCACGTAACGTTCTATAGTGGGGTTGCCGTAGGCTCATGGTATGCAAAGTTACCGTTCGCTATAACTTTGCACTGGAGGTTATTTGACGTATTGATTACGAAAATAATGCTGATTCTGGGCGTAGGACCTTTTCCCAGCATTACGATGGGCATACGGTAGGTGTGCCGTGATTTGCAACTTGTATAGTTGCAATTATAATATCGATAGCGCCCGAAAAATATCGTTCTGCGCAGTTGTATTGGATATTTGATATGTCGCCCAAGTCAGTTGATAAAAGAGACTCTCAACCTACAAGTAACTGGGATCTATTCGTAACCAGCATGTTGAAGAACCCCCACCCCCTTCCTAAAGACAAAGTCTAGAGCAAATTTCGAATCCCGCTCCACCTACCGCATTGCCGTCATTCTAGAAATTGGTCGTACGTATAGATCTCATCTGCTTTGGGTGTCTTCACACCGCGCCGACAGCCGCCGCTAGCAGCCCGTAGCAGCCCGCAGCAGCCGCCAGCAGCCCGTAACCGCCGCTGGCCGCTCTTTTGTTATCATAGGAGCGCAGAATTATCTATTTTTTACTACGTTGTCCTTCCTGTTGCCGCCAGTATGGTATTTGATCACATAAAGTTACTAGCGTACATTGTTGTCATTATATTGTTGCCGTACATTGCATATCCTATTGGTGTCCTCATTTCACTTTTGCAATGTCTTGTCTGAAAAAATTGTGAGCGATTGTATTACTCCTCCGCATTTGGGGTGTTCAAATTCTGCCTTGTGTGCTTTGCTTCTTTCACCTATGAATAAGTTTTTGCTGCATGTTCTTTTATGTGGTAATACATATCATTTATTCTAAGACCAAAAGACTCGGAACCACTTTGCCCATAACATAAACAAATTTAACTTGTTTTTCTTAGTTTCAAGGAGTAATGCTTGATGGGATGGACTACAAGCGTAAACTTGTTAACCACTTAACTTCTTGACCTGGCGACAACAGGAAGGAAAAATTGTGGAAGATGGAAAGCATGGGCGGATCACTCAAAGTAGTACGAACCTGATGATTTTGCGCTCCTATGGTAACAAAAGCGTCCAGCGGCTGCTACGTGCTACTGGCGGCTGCTGCGGGCTGCTCGGGCTGCCCAGGCTGCCAGTGGCGGCTGCCGCCGCGATATGAAGGCACCCTTTCTATGATCAGCATATCAAAGCGCCCTAAGCAAAGTCATGCACAGTGATTTCCGTGGTGGCTTCACAGCATGAACCTACCGTAGCCACACCATAAGGCGTGCATTGATAGAAAGGGTACGAAAGAATTTTCTAAATTAGTGTGGATATGATGGTAAGGAAAAGGTTTGTGGTTTTTTTACCTTTCATTCTAGGATTGAGCAACAATCCCGATACGAAAGAGAAATAGGGAGTAGTAGGGAGGGAAGCTCAAATGTCAAAGAAGGTTTCGTAAAATTCGAATCCAAAGGAGAACTTTGTTTCAAAAATCTCTTAACAGCTCGTGCCGAGACCTGCATGTTGCGAGTAGCTTCTTGTGCGTAACTGCTCGCGCGCTCAGCCTAATGTATTCGGTTGATTTTCCATTAAGACTTCTTCTTTGGAACAGGCACAGCATAACACTGAGAAGCTGTTTTTATGCTCTATCTAATGCTTTGAAACAGCTTCCATCCTCATCTGTTATAAAGCCACTAAGCTAATCGCCTTTAACTTCGGAAATATATTGCATTCAATTTTCTGGCCAGAATCCGAGAGCGCATAAATGATGCTTTTTCAAAATTTAGCTATGGCATGTCATAGAAAATGTCTACATCATACATGCTTAACTGTAAATTTTGAAGTATCCATACTGAGATATCGGCTTCGCAACATGGGTGGTCGCTGCGGTTATTTTATCTTATATATAAAGCTGAATGTCTGTTTGTCTGTATGTCTGTCTGTCTGTCTGTATGTCTGTACGTATGTTCCGAATAGAAAATTTCATTTCTGAACCGATCCGGACCAAACTTGGCACACATACACTACGGGCCGCGGCGGGTGTCATAGGCTACTTTTCGTCATCGATCGATATCGATTTTATCGATTTTTTGCAAAATTTGAGCTACGGGGCTGGGAGTTGGCACAGGGGGGTAATCGAGCATGCTGATCACCCCCGTGGGGGTGATCAGCATGCTCGACTACACCCCCTGCCAAATTCCAGCCCCCTAGCTCAAATTTTGCAAAAAATCGATAAAATTGACATCGATCGATAACGAAAAGTGGACTGTGACACCCGCCCGAAGTGTATGTGTGCCAAGTTTGGTCCGGATCGGTTAAGAAATGGAATTTTCTATTCGGAACATACGGCGGAGCCGGGTAAGCCAGCTAGTGGCTCATAAATTTCTACTAAAGAAGTTCGCGAGAACTTTGCTCAATTCTGTAAACGTAATGCTAGTGCATCCTATTAGCAGTTTTAGCAAAAACATCCAGCCGTTCCGTATGAAAATCAAAAAATTCTATGTTTTGGACTTTGAGGCATACTGAAAAAATGTCGTAAGAGTTGAGAATTCCTTATTTTAATTATTTTCTTTTCACAAATTATGTCTCTCCAAACCCCTTTCATAGTGTTTTGTACTACTGGCTTGCGGCAACAAGATAGGTCACTTATAATTTGAGCTGACTAATTTTGAGAGAAGTTATGAATTGTCAAACACAAGGTTTAAAAAAACCTTCTTTGTTTTTCAATCCGCATTTTTCTGCCCGTTTGTGATATGACTCCTGCTGCTTCTGATGGTCTTTACCGTAATGGGAAATGTGGATTCTTGAAAAAGTTACAACAGGTCTAGGTGAGAATTCGCAAATAGGCCATTATTTCTTCATCAACCTAATGCATATATTGCCTGTTCGTGCAGCAGTATGCTTGCGGGCACAGGGCCTTTGCAGTACCCCTGCCGGCACGCACTGTGCCGGCACATGAGGAAGCTCAGATAATTATTGGCAATTTGGCATCCGCCGTCGTTTTCTGGCGGTGCGCGGGCGCTGAATTCTTGGACTGATCGTCCGCGGCCCTAGATTTATTTGTTTGGCAACCCGCGGCTCAATGCTATCGCGAGGGAAAGCCCGCGGGCCACATGTTGGTTTCCTGGACATTCACGGGTTTCGTTTGGGCACTTATCGGCGCATCCGCAGGTAGATTTCGGGAGCTTGGCGTCCGTTTATTCTACCACCCGCGGCATGGATGAAGCGTCGGCCGGCGCCCTTCCGCGGGTGGTCGCAATAATTGTCTGAGAATATGAGCCTTGCTTGAAAGATGCGGGAAACACCCGCTATAGTACACATTGAATTCATGCAACCCATAGCACACTTCCTCCTTCCCCCCCCCCCCCTTACCCTTTCCCGAGGTCTTTGAGATGATCAGAAACTATCTTCTGAACTACCTTGCGAACCTGCAGGTTTGCGAGCTCATGCGAAATTCACAAAAATCTATCTCAAAAGAAGCACTTAGGTCGTTAGGGCTCATTGACTAGTCTGTACTATGCTATTCTAGCTGTGTTTCCAAGCAGTTTTATGTCACCCTTCCCTCGGAGCGCATGATGAAACTGCAGTAAGTGTTGCATTTATTTCCCATCTTCTAGCATACCTTCCAAAAAAGGCGCTATGTATTATGAACAAGAATCAAAAACGAAGAGATTCATAAAATACATACCACAGTCGGAAAATACATATTGTTGTCATCGCCGAAGGACAGATGACTGGCATTTCTATAGTGCGGACATTTATGACGCCTGAAATAGCTGACGGTAATGAAGTGCAAATAGCTTCTGTGATTTCTAAAGTGTTGCCGATTCTAAGCATTTTCAGTGGAGTACTACTTACAAGGGAAGAATACCAACATAATCTGGCAAACCAGATGATGTATATCAGTAGACGTGCCTTCAAACGCTGATTTCAAATCTGCTTTCCTTTTCTGCTAAGCAACTCTCCAAAAAAAGTTATAAGCGTTTGAACGTCCAAGTTTGTTATGATCGAAGCGGCTAAAAATTAGCTTAAAGCTCTAGAACAACACCTAGCAGATTTCCACTGGTTGTATTCCGTCCTTGGTCCTTCAGTATACTTGATACAGAACCGATAATCCACTTCCATGTGTTTTTGTACAGTTTTCGTCAATTTTATGCCACTCAAGACTTGACAAATTTGGATTTTCAAGCGCTCATGACTTCTTTCGGAGAGTTGTTCCGCAGAAACCAAAAGCAGATTTGGAATTAGCGTGTGAAGATGCTTGATATACGCTAATATCACGAGTACAAGACGCACCTTTTTGTTTAAGCGAGCCGCTTAGCCGCCTCGTCGTGGTTTGAAAAGCGAAACTTATACCGCACGTTTTTTCAGGCAATACGCAGCACTATATAGGGACTTGGTTGCAAAAGTTTTGGTGTGTTCAGGCTGGTCGATCGAACTGAGGAAAAAAACAGGTGCGTCCCGTACTTGTGAAACTAGTGTACATCTCTTTTTGGTTTGCCATATCATGTTGGTATTATTCTCTAATTAGACAGCTGCCTGCTCATACAATACAGAGTCTTTTGAGGCGCGTGGATTTTGGACGGAGGCCCTACAATTCTTCACACACAGTTGACGGGTACCAGCTCAGGCAATTGCTGAGGATGGCGGGCATCCGAATTAGATGAACTCGCACTCCGCTCGCAGAATGTTAGGAAACTGTTCACGAGCTTTTGCAAAGCTTTTAACTGATTTTTTTTACTTCGACAACAAAGCAGTAATCTATCCGCAAAAAAAAACAGAGCGGAGAAGGAATCTACAGGCATCGGGAAAGCTCGCCTTCGGTTTTCTAAAATAGCGCGAGCGAAGTGCGAAAACCAAAACGCGTATCCGGTGGCTCACAGGGCTGTGCGTGATCGCGAAGTTCGCTGAGGTTGCGGCTATTGCTGATGCATCAAGCTTTCATAGTTCTCTATCTCCTGTCAAATGCTTTTCTGCTATCAGATGTTGACTTTCATTCAACTGGTTTGGGGCCTAGAGGCATATTGCGCGGGCAATGGGCGCAATCTCACCGACCTTCGCGATCATGCACGGTCCACCTCCGATAATTGTTTGGAAGACCTGCAGGGTTGAACCCATAAACTCTGCGTCCCTCAGTCTTTGTCTTCTGAACTTCATACTTCATAATACTGATTCTCATTTACTTTGCAGTCGGGTTGCGGAAACGTTTTTCAACGTTTCGCTATGAACTAACCAAACGTTAGCACGGAGCTACGCACTTGTATCGCCATAAGTTTGCTCAATTATGCTCTACTAGCCAACTCAGGCAGAAATTGGAGGAATGAGTAGTTTACAAATGCAGCGGCAGGCGGACGTAACGTTAAATCCCAAGATTATTCGATACAGCCATTGTGAAATCATATCGAAAGCCATGTAATAACTGGTTGGCTGTTCTCTTGGAATCTCTTATAATGCATCACCATCCTTTACTTTCAAGATCCACAGACAGCGAACTTCAGTTGGTCTTAGGGAGAAAAGATGTCGGAATTCTTGGCATTATTAAAAGCTCAAAAAGGTAATTCTTTGCATATGACTGTCGTCCTACAAAGCTGTATAGAAGGTCAAAGAACGGTATAGCCATACTTTGAACTCCTAAAGACCATATATGAAAGCGCGAGATTACATCGAATTTTAGCTGTTCGTTCCCACGCCTTTTCGTTGCGCTTCGAAGTAGTCCTTGAAGGCGAGAAAAGCTTACGAGAGTTTTTTCATTTCCAACAGAGAATTCTGACGAGTGCCTGGATGTGCTAGATGGATGCTTTGACACAAATTCACGCACTTTTCGTCTGCTATAGAGTGAAGGGAATCCGCAATGGGCCTCGGGTTTGGTACATTACGATACAGAAGGAATCGCATCCAAGTCAATGACCAAAAGAAAGTCAATTTATGGAACCACAGAGTAATATCCTAGACTCCCCCCTCCCCCTCCTCCTCCCCCCTTGACCCCTTCCCCGCCTTTTAATCAGGCACGTCATAGCTATTTTTGAGCATGGCCTTGCGTAACGAAGACTCTTTGAGTGAAGTTTTTTGAAAAAAATCACGCAGTAGATACAAATTGTCAGCACACAATGAATGAATGTTTTGTGACACTTAGTACTTCGTTAAAAAAGTATGGATTTTGAATTAGCTTACCCGCATGTACAAATTTGGCAAACGCATTGCGGTTGATGAGCCCTGAACGAGAATAAATGCTACGTGATGGTTCAGAAGTTGTTCGATCAACTCACATGAGTTTTACTTCAGTTTCAATGTAGAGGTTCCTCAGTCATATGCGAGGATAATCTTGTGTAGGTGTTCGACTGTGGTCGAAACGTCCCCGAATCCCCTTTGACAGGATGGCAACTGAAGGTTCTGAGACGGCGTCGCCGAATTTGTACCTATCATGTAACATCTTGTAGTAAGAACAAATCGTAACGCGAAGTGAACGGGGTACCTACTACGGACAGAATAACAGATCGAAAACGTGGAAAAGGAGATGAGCTTACGGTATAGAAGCACATTTTGAGGCAAGACAATTAAAACTGGAAGATACGCAAACTACAGGTTGTATGACGGCGGCTCAAGACGTGAGCATGTCAGTTAAGCTCTCAAGTGCACATGATTCTCTGTTTTGCGCTAGGATTATACAAAAAAGATGTTACATTCGCCAATATGAAAACTCATTTGAAGGCATAAGAACCGCTATGCATTGATCATCGCTGCTCACCTATAGATTAGCAGCAATGTAACATAGGTAAACTTCACGTGTCATCGTCATGATATTTGAGAAGCGCCTAAGTACTTGTGTACAAAGTTAACAATGTGTCGATGGAAATCGATTGCGTGATCCTCAAATTGCAGTAAGTTAGAAAGAGGAAGGGAAGAAGAATGAAATAGGAATAAATTCTGCGTTTTTGGAATAAATTCTGCGTTTTTAAAATAAGCAATGGGTGAACGCTTTAACTGATATTAAGAAAAGTAAGCAAAAAGTATCAATAATTCGGAAGGTACAGGCAATTATCAAGTTCTCCTACCCACCCAGAGTGTTAGGAACGGCTAAGGATAGCATTGCTTTATCCGTCAAGAGGGATAAGAAGTGTATTGAGAAAGCCTGCATTAACTCGGAAACACTTTGAAAAGATATTATGTTTGAAAGACAAAAAGGACGGAAACAGATCTCCATTTGGAGATTTTACTCATCCATCACACTAGTTCATTGCAAACTACGCGTCTTGCGCAGTAGGAATACCGTGACCATCGGATCATCAAAGAATTCATTCGTCTAAATTTGAGTATCCAAAAATCTTCTTCGACTTGTATTGAAGTGGAGACCAATTCTTACAGACAGTGAAGTTGTTTTTACGTTCAGGCAATGAGAATTCTGAAAGATCTCACAAGATTTAGAATGAAGTTTTACATGTCGCGTCCTCCCAAATACTCCTTGAATGATGGGCATCCAACATTTTTTGAGGGATGTGAAGTAGAAATTGCGTTGCGAAGGGGGAAAAACCTCAAAGTTTTTGTGTGAATGGGATTGCGATAATCCTGCTGAGAACGACAGCAAAAAGTTTTGCATGAACAAAGATTTCAGGAACACGATTTCCGTCGAAACATGGGAAACTCGAATCCAGCTCAGTGATGGCGATTTTCTGCAGAATCAACTCTGTTGTGTATTCAGCAGCACGGTTCCGCCTTTCAAGCTGAACACTTTTTCAAAAATGTCCCACAATGCAAAGCGATTTGAATGAGCTGGCGATTTTCAAGATATTTCGCAGATACAGCTGAAAAGTTGAAATTAGTCGAGCAGGGTCAGCAGCAAAACTTAGAAATAACGGGATTTCACAGAGGAGAAGTCGAGACAAGGATGTCTTTGATGGAAATCTTCAGATCCACGCATGTGCGTCCCTATTTCGAACGAAAACATGTATATGCTCGCAACAAAGACTGCTTTTGTTGTGAGACATAGAAGCTTGTGACTTACATGCTCAACCCCATTTCTTTTTTTATCAAACGTCTTCAGTCTCTCAACATTCAAACGGCTGAAGACCTCAACAAACGGTCATCAAGCTGAACGATAACGACTATCCTCCACTTCTAAACCATTCATGGTTTTTAGCTCTCTAAAGGCATCGCGCTCTAACAACCATCCGATGTAGATTGTTGCGCTATACAAAAATACAGAAAGCCAAAATAGCATTTTAAGGATAGATGAACAAACTACTTCGCACCATCTTAGTAGGAGTTTCAACAAACGGGCTTTTATTGTACAATATAACCTTCGAAAATTTCGGGAGTCGAAACAGGTTAACTGTAAAAACATTAAATGACTTAAGTATACTGTGCGTATAGCAAAGTGCTGAAGAATGCTCTAGAAGTTAGCCATGGTAAGATGTCGTGTTTGTTCTACGCATAAGGGAGCAAAGTAACGGGGCTGATTTCTACTCGAACACAGACATTAAAAAATGAAAAGTCGTTGCTCTCAATTAATGGACATGTTTTTCATTTAAAAACATGACCTCTTCCATGAAATGTCGTTTCTGATAAATGCGTCAAGTGTTCTCTTCGTTGACTGCTTTTGTTCATAGAACAGCCAAAAACCATAAGAAAAAGAGTCACCCATTTGTTCTTAAAATATGCTTTTCAATCAGAAATTATTTAATTTCAAATCAGCCTTAACAATGGTTCGATGCTATGGAAAATGTCTCAAAAGTGAAGTGAGATTTCCTGTATATCTACATATAAAGTCACCCCAAATTTTGTCACATTTCCCTGCTGGGTAGATCCAAATATTCAAGAAAAAGGCAGATCCAGATATGACAGTAGACAAGAAAAAGGAAGATGCTTCGCATTCAAGGCAGGTAAAACATTTCCGACTTTTACTACTGCATATGTGAGTGATGACTGCGAGAGATTTCAGCATGAAACAGTGTTAGATTGAAAAGAAAAGAATCTCGTTTTTTTTTTATAGCAAAGCAATAAGACAGATCCAAGACCAAATACGACGAGGAGTAGAGCAATGGATGCTCTACAAGATGACCTTTCTATATTGGCAGAAGTCGTGATTTACACAAAGTTTGGAGCCAGGACATGAGAGCAACTCATGGTGCCAAAAAGCGGATTTTCGCCCCAAAAAATTCTATGATCCTCTCACCTGCTCCTGCTCGCAACTGACACATACAATTATCCACAGATACACTTGCTATGTTTTTTTTGCTTAGAAATCAAAAAAATTTTGTATACTGCAAACCTTAGAGGCTTCGAACATAAAATCTTAGCCCTGAATAGGCCTTAGTTCTTGGGAAAGATCAATTTTAGCAACAAACGCGGGACTTTTTTTTAATCTATGAAAAATTAACAAAACCAGTACTTGTACAACAACAACATCACCTAGATTATTTGCAAAAATTTTCACACTAGAATTTTGGGTGCAGAGGTTGGTCTGGGAACATTCCACAACTTTTTCGATAGTCTTTCATCAGCGATTGTGAAGACCATGAACTAGCTTGAAATAGCATGACACATATTACTTACCAAGGTGCTCTTGCTCCGTATTCCATAGTAAACAGAGGCCATACAAGATAACAAAAACCATTTTGTAGCTTACGATCTATTCTTCCAAATAGTTTATGACTTACTAACAACCATTCCCTCCTATCATTACATGATGTACTATGAAAACTAGTCAATTGCATTCTGAATCATTTTTGCAGAATTGTTCCAAACTTTTACCATAGACGATTTCAAGTCAGCAATTTATGAGGCTCAGAGCATGAATGATTTCGGTTCGAGGTTTTGAAGACAAGTAGTTTTGAGATATGCATTGTATCTCAAATGATGACACTTTGTTTCTTTTCTATTTGCAGTAGTCAAAATATATCTTCTCCCGAATCGACCAATTACAATCAATGAAGTTTTTGTTTGAACGAAAAGTTGCATGCGGATTGTAGGGGGAAGAAAACCTCTTGCTAACTACACTTCCTTGATAAGTATTTCCAAATAACAACAAAATTTTGTGCCTAATTTTGTCGACGTAGTTTTGGGACACACGGTAGCTTTTACAATAGAGAACGGGTGACCATGGTGGACGTTGAGGTTTGCTTCAAAATATCTGCAAGGCTCCGAATCAACTTGAGACTACTGGGAAGCTGAATGCCACATTATTAGAAAAGCAAACTTGTAAATACATGTGCTCCAAGGAAATCATGTTATTTAGTAAACAAAGAGAAGACAGCAATTGTGGCATGATCAATCATGCTAAATTCAGGACTTTCAAGGCGAAAATTGCAAGATTACCTTCAACCCTATAATGTCGAAGATGCATAAACATAAACTTTGTCAAGCTTGGGAAAACTGCGCTAAGAGTAAAAAGGATATTCTAGCCGATCTTTCAAGGAATTCGACCCATTAAGTGCTTGTTAGAATCACAACAAAAACGATCAAGTTTGAGCAGCTTGATCGTCCTCATGGAGAGCTCTAAACACTTAGTAGCTTTGACTGGATCTTATGCTACAACGTATTTGCAACACATTTTGAAAAAAAAAGAGCATACTTAAGGCTTTTAGTACCATGTTCAAATAGTAAAAAGCTGACAAATGCTATGGCATCTAGTCTCTGCTTACCAAACTGCTGGGCAGGCGTACGAATATTGAGCATTCCTTGAAAAAGGTTGATTAGAACTCAGGAAGACTTTGAAAAAATGCCGATATGCCCCCAAGAGAGATGTTTCATATAGAATCCCTTCATTCACCACAGGAATCTGCACCCAGAAACATCAGTGACTGATATCATAAAGAATTCAAATCTGTTTTCAGCAACTGAAGGCGTACGAACAGCTACTCTAGAAAAAGTCAACATTACGCTCAGAAACTCATGAGCCATCACACATAGAGAGAGAGGCTCAGAGTTTCAGTAATCATGGATAAGAGTATCATGGAACCACGAGACTCAACAGGAAATTACATTTATCTTGTTTTCAAACTGCTATGACAACTTTTTTATCTTCAGTCCATAACAAATTGAATACACGACCTTCAATAGCTTGTAAAACTTCCAGAGTAGCTGTATACTCTCAAACATGTATACGACAAAAATGAATTGCAGCAAAGATGTCTACTTCGTTTCGAATAGATTACAGTCAGGAACTACAGTGTTTTGTGGAATTTATATAGCAAGAAGAAAGGCACATAACCGGGAGGAATAGCTTATGGCCGTTCTAGTTACAGAGCTTTTCCAATGTAGGACTCTCGAACAGCAAAATGGATATCCCTGCATATAGGGAGCATATAGGGACATCAGGCTCGAAATTTAGTTTTGTTTGCTTTATCCATGCTTGAAAGGTGAGCGAGCCTATCATGAGACTGCCACAGCCGCAGACATAAACAATTTGTTTTCACCATTTCAAAAATTGGGATTCAACAAATTCGCGATTCAGACTGGGGAATGCGTTGGCACCTACATCCCCTAAGCATTTCTGCCCTGAGTGTAGTAGAAAATACCGTAAACGTCGTGGAGGGGGACATGAAATGTCACGTCTACAGAAATCCATCAAAAGAGAATAAAGAACGCAAAGTGTTCGTTGCTCGAACAATAAAAACTCAATCGATGTGAATCTGATTGAAATACAAACATTTCCGGAGAATTTTGAGGCTGAAGATAATCTTTAAAGACTTGCACATGGGATGAACGAGTTGCTCCAAGAGTAGGCTAAGCATAGTTCTATAAATACTGTGAAGAAAGAATCCAAAGTTAGCCTTTTGAAAAGGAAACGTTTGGTGATGAGTACAAATGAATTATACTGCTCTATAAGAACAAAGTTTAGCTTTGTTTCTCATTGTTTTTACAGAAGATGATGAGAAGACAGCAAACTGAGATGAACATCAAACCGAGAGTGTAACAACCTGTTTGCAACAGCTAATGACATTGAGCGCTATGGAAGGTACGCAGTGAAAGGAAACGGTCCACTAGGTTTAAACTTCCTTTCTAGAAAAACGCAGCATGACTGGATTTCCGAAAAAGATAGTTTGATTAGTAAAAAGTAGCTGTTGTACAGTCATACAGTCGAGTAGATTTAGCGGTAAATATAGTGTGGTTGCACAGAAGGTGAAATGCGGTGAAATTTGCGCGTGAACAAGTAGCCACATCAGTAACGCGGGCATCTTGCGCGCGCAATTGGCCGGCGTCACAGTCGCAACTATTTCTTAACGCGCCAATTTTACCGCATTTCACCTTCTGTGCAAGCACACTATATTTACCGCTAAATCTACTCGACTGTAACCCGCTCGAATGCTTCGTCATCAAGATTAAATGCCAACTGGTGAGTTATTCCGCGAACCTGCGAAAATTAAGCCATAAATAGCAATGCGCCGCTTAATCAATGTGCGTCTCCCGATTAAGCGATTTTCCCTAATACACGAAGATAACAAGAAAAATGGTGCTCAATCACAAGGGGTTTTCGGAGCAGCAACGCTCTTTTATCCTACCTTTTACGTCATTGAAGTATATCCGATAACAAGCAACAGAGACAACGGAAAAAGAGAACGCTGGCGTAAAATGGTGAATTTGATTAAAATGAGGAGCAACGAGTATCGATTGTCGCTTACTCTTCTTTGGCTCAGGATATGGAGTACTGAAAGCCTAGAATGCGTAGCATAAACTCAAAAAACTTGAGATGTGGTAATGGAGCGGAAGAATTTCACAGACAAAGTCTGTGGCGGTGGGCCTACTACCAGTAACGAAAGTAGTTCGATTCTCGTTTGCATAGTGTGAAAAGATTGTATCAGCAATTACATAAGTGGTGTACTCAGATATACAGACAATCAACTTGTAATTAAGACCCGCTAAAACAGAACAAAAAGATGGAGAATTTGCTGCCCAAAGACTAGAAGAGATGAGGAAGGGGAACATAAAGTGCGTATTCGGCGAAAACAGCTGTAAACAGCCATGGCGTGGGAAGATGAAGGCATCAAAGAGCAGAAGCAGAATGCGTGTTCGCGCGCTGCCGCTTGCGCCAATTTCTACGAAGAGCTCCTTCTCCCTTCTGTGCTTTCTCGATAATGAAGACTTGCCTGCAGTTTCCGCTCCTCTTCCTGCTTATTCTGCATTCAAAGAGAAAATGACTATTAAGGAGTGAGTTAGAGAAGGTGGATAAAATTCATCATGAGAACGGTAGAAAAAAGTACTAAAAAATTCACTTGAATCCTCACTACGCCATTCCTGAGTGTTTGCTTTCGCATTTCTTATCAGCGGCTCTTTTGATCATGCGATTTAACGGGCCGTAAGTTATAGCTAAATTTTCTTTCCAGGCTGGAGTATGCACAGCCTGTTAGAGACTCTCAGAAAAGTAGAAAAGACCAAAGAAGGTGAAACTCTCCTAAAAGTATGCAAGTCTGTAAACCCTTACACCTAACCTTCATTTAATTCTCTAGCGGGAATCTGAAATATAACCGGCCGCAGCTGACAGAGCATAACGTCAAGCGTTCGAAACTGGAAACGTGTTTCATGGTCAGTTTTTCCATCCAATTGAGCAAAGAGAAGAAAATCCGAGATTGCAACAGGCAAAACCACCAAGCAGAAGGGAGTGAAAGTGGAATAGAAGGAGAGAAAGTAAACTAATTGACTCATGGATGTGCCAGCGAATGTTCTAAGAAAAAAAAAACAGCTTAGTCGATGAAATATTGACGGAAGCCCTACTGAATTAGCAGTGCACACGGATGTAGAAGACAACACGCAAATCCCAGTCATGGAATTAGTGTAGGCGAAAAAACTTTCGGGCCTCGGTTGAACCCCTGCTTTTATTTGTTTGCTAGCATAGTACGGCGGCGTGCGCATTATAATTATGCCTTGTTTTGGGTACTCTATGTTCCGGATGTAGGCAAGCAATGCAACCAGGGAAATCAATGCACGAAAATACTCGAGAAACTCTCCAGCAAGGAGTCATAGCAACGGATTAACAACGAGTAAACTTGTTGCACTACTCTTCTTTTTCCTTGTGAGAAAAAGTTGGTCAAATCTGAGACTTGTCTACTTTTGAGATGGAAACCAATGAGTTGTACTCGCGCATTCTCAAAAAACATTGCTAGTTGTAATTAATTGAAATCGGTAACTACCTCTGCACTTAGCAAGGAAATGTTGCAATTTCGAAACCAGGGCTGGACGGGAGCAGCATGAATGCAATGAAGTTTTGTGTTCTCGGAGGAAGGAGAAATGCTTGAAAAAGGGAACAACGCGGTGTCCGCCTTGGAAATTGGATTACCATGCAGCTCGATTCGTCAAATAAACTTGCACATTTCAAGGCTTGAGATGAGCGAATAGATGATACGCTTGGAAGAATTTTAACCAACTAGTCAAACGATTTCCTCTATGAATCATATTAGCCAGATTTATCCTGCATTGTACGCTAATTCTATGCTTTATACACATTAGAATAAAAGTGATCGATTCGAGGGGAAACAGTCATCAGACACTGGGGACAGTTCGTATTGACACGATCACATATTTTACTTTGGTACATTGAACGAGTCAAGGTATAACCTGTTATTGAGTCATCCAAATTGTCTGCCATAACAACGCGGAAACGTTCAAACATCGAAAAATTGGGCGCGTGGCATTTGTCGAATTGGCTGATCATCCTTTTTTTTCACTTTAAGAGATAAGAATTCATTCACGAAAAATTATTTTAACAAATTGGTAACTCTCTCAATTTATAATTGTCCATTCCTGAGTTTTTAGTCTATATTCTTATGGACTTAACAGTGAAGATCTTTATCAGTGTCCTATCGAAACGCAAAAAAGGAGGTTTGTCTCGTTCACAACAACAATCATACGAAATGCCCGGAAATACATGGCAGTCTCAGTTCGCACTCGGCAAATTTTTTCTATGTAATTCTCTCACTCTATTCCTATCTCTCCCTCGAAAAAAAGGCGCGAGCGGAGCGGTACTAGTTCCATTGTGTGTGCGAAAGTTCATTGGTTAGTGTTGCCAGATCAATCGTCGGGACACATAGACAAAAGCGATGATTCATAGTTATGTGGCTTTTAAAGTCTCGTTTTACGCGCAGTAAATCCCCTTAACGGAAGACATATCAATAATCATAGCGCGTTGTTGTTGCTTTAGAAATTCTTCACCCACCTCAATCTTCGAACAATAGACTAGCCAATTTTTTCGACACGTAAAAGGATTCAGAAAAACGTCGATTTTTTGGTTTTTTGGACTGACCGGAAGAGACTCCCGTAGAAGAAAAAAAGAATTCTTTGCAAAACTTTATCTAAGTTCAAGTGTACTTAATGCGTTTTTCAATGGTTGAAAAAATATCGTTTCCTCTCGCTACCTTCATGCATTCTGCTAGTGAAATTTTGAATAGATTTGATGAGGGATATGGACTTTCAAAAGCGGATAAAAACCTCTATTCATGATGAAGACTAGAGAGGATCTAATCTAGTCTGCTAAGTGTGCCAGCATTTGATGAGCGATGTGGTCGAATGCGTGAGTGTGAAGCCATAGACACCACCTTTGATGCATGCAAAGAGATCTTTCCAGCAACGCTCATCGAGCTTTGATTATATAGCCTCGACTATTTTGAAGAGGTTCTGCACGATGAACTGAGTTGTCAATACTTTGTGCGGGTGACATGACACTAATAAGAAGAAAATGAAGTCCGTCTCGCAATTACCATGAAGCGGCATGGATAACGAAAGCCACGGCAAATAATCTGTAGCATGCTGAATACACTCGTTTTCTATCGAATACCAAACCAGCACTTTATTTACACAACTGCCTCATCAAATGAAATTGTCCATTTCGTTTCAAAATGGGCAATGTGGCAGGTTTTAATCATAGATGCTGCTTCATAGCATTTGAGAAGGAATTATTCAAACATCTGATATGAATGCTGAAAATGCAAACTGCAAAATTTCTTATGAAAAACTTGACTGAACCGGTGCAAAACCAATGATTGAAGTGTTCTCATATCGCTGTCATAGGTTTACACATCAATACGATTAGGCAAATAGACGAATGTTTTCGAAGGGTCGACAGAAATGACCAAAAACAATAGAAGCATAAAGTAGTTTTACGAGAGACTGGGTAGTGCCTGTGCTTTACTTATTACAACTTTCTATCCTTACATCATTATTCTTTTCACCATCATATTATTTCTGGCGCATTGCGCCATTTATTATGGAATCAAATCTCATCTAAAAATTCATGTAACATTGCATTTTTATCGCGAGAATCAATTGAACCCTTAGTTCAAAATGACTCAAGCGTAGAAGAATTTATCATTACGGAAACGTTGTCAACCATTTACAAATCTATGTGTCAATTTTCCTATCGTCATGATGGTGACACATTATCCTATCAACAAAAATTCTGAACGCGAAAATTAGAAAAATGGAAACCGAATCGTTATCAGGGCTCGGCACGAGGTGGCTTACAAGCAAGCTGGATATCGTTTTTGGGACGAAAAGCAAAGGGGGTTTCATTTTTGTGACCGAAGACACACGCAAAATTGGCGATTTGGCAACGTTTTTTTTTAGTCGACGTTTCGTTTTTTGGTGGATTTTTAGGGAATATGGTGGGGGGTCAAAGGGGACTTCGTAAAAATACCCAAAAGTCAAGGGGGACTTCGTTTTTTGCATTTCCATCTAGCCACCTCGTGCCGAGCCCTGATCGTTATTCCCTGGCTCTGTATTTGATAGCAAATGTGTTGCTTCACCTCCTCGATTTGCAAGAAACTTTACCGTTATCATTCTCATCAAAAATTTGTAAGCTACATTCTTTTTTGGAACCTTCCTTGATTAGCTCGGCCTTTGCTTCAACCAAATGGGCTCAGCCATCTTGTCCCATTTTTGCTAATGCTTCTTCTAATGCGTGGAATCTTCAGTTTTGAACAATTTTGCAGTGGTGAGGAAACCTAATTACTGCATTCTACCCTTGTAGGCCCTGACAAAAGCGGATTGGATCAATTTCGAACAAGGTCTGCTAAAACATTCAACGTTCCAGGCATGTCAATACTCATGAAATCTAGGAGGCCCAGTGGCATTAGATTGGTATAAGAAACGAGTAGCATGGATATGGGAGACTTTTCTGTCGTTGTTGTTCAAAACCGGCAGTCGTTAGTAAGGTCTATTGTCGTTGACGAGGTGTTATGTCAAGTAGGCAAAAGCTCAGATGTAAGTCACGCTGACTAACGCAAAAATGGTACAAGATTCACAGGCATAAAGATAGTCCCGTTTGGGAAAAATCGAGGAATCAGTTTTTTGCGTTTAGATGGTCATGTCGGTCTCCTTCTGCAGAATGTGAGAAACCATCTACCGAGATTGTTTCCCCAATGCAGTGATGTCATAGTGGGTCAGGGCCCGGATGAGCAACTTAACCCATGGCCCCTGGGCGGGCTGAGAAGGGATCTCTATGAAAAAGGATCATTGAACCTTGGAAAGGTAATGGTAGGTCTGTATGACCTCCTGTAAAACGCAACCTTGTTTCTGTTGCGAATGTGCACATCTGTTAGCTTGTGTAACCCACTGCGAATAATCTCTGATATCTTGTGAAGACAAATGAGGTCAATGCCTGATTCAGTAGCAGAAGTCACATATCAATGTTTTTCGACAGCGCAAAAACTATGACCGTTCCTTGTTCTCACATAATCCTTGGTTTCTACCAGTGACATTCCGAGAAATGCGAGGGACGACAGAAACCTCTTCACTCAAAAGGCATGGCCCTAGCTACTTCTTCAAATATACCTTAGGGCCCAGATTTTGCAACTTCAAAAGCCGTAATTTTTCAAGGCGAAGCCTCTCAAAAAATTTATTTCAAAAGAATTCATTTTTAGCAGGCGAGAGGTAATTCCCCTTTCCCTTCAGTACGCTCCTGATAACCAATTGTTGATGACAGGAATTAGATAGCTTGTTTGCCATTATTACTTCCCCGAATTTGCAAACTGGAAGATGAAGTATCTATATGGTGGGAAAAGTTGCGATCATTTCAATGGATTGAATTGCTTTCGAAGCCACTGAAATTGGCGCTCAAATTTCGTATTTACGAGGTCACTGTAATTGGTGTGACAATGCTTTAGAACGATTGTAAAAAAACACGCGCAGATTCGATGAAACGACTGCCTACAATCCACTACAGAAAGGTCAAGATTTGGCAATTTTCGAACTTGGAAACAACTACATTCCAAATGAATCTCATCGATGAATTTTCCGAAAATTTGGCAAGCGGATCATGTATATCAAAAGCTGCGTTACAAAGCGTCCACTACCCTCTCTTTGACCACTACTTCTTGCTTGAATATACAACAAAAATAGAAGAATAAAGCAAACTTGAATAGTGGTGATTATGAAGATAGCAAACATATTGCTGTACTAATGATAGTACAAGAAATTTCTTTTCCAAAGGGAAAAAGGCCGAACGGGCGACAAAAAATTTTTAAGTGAAGTGGGGGGGGGGGGAGGGAATGCAGTAATAAAAGATTAGCTGTCGCTCGAACATTCTGAGTTCGGCCAGACGGCGCGACGCACAAGTAGTCTAAAACCTTAAAGCTATTTCCCTGTTTCTGTTGCCATATTTTGGATGTTTTCAAATTTTGAGATTTCTTGGCGTCCCTCCATGTGTGAGGTGCAGTCGAATGTCTGTCACAACAAATAATAAAAGCTACAAAAAACCCACATTCTTGGAAAGATGGCACTTTTCATTGTTCAAGTCCTCATCTGCTTGTCAGTGTCACTTAATCAGCTTATCTATTTATTTGAAAATTTCAATGAAAACAACAGTTCCGTTCAGGTGCTCAAAGAATGATGTGGATAATGAGATGTTGAATACACCACCATCAGAGCTAAACGGTTCAGTGCTCTCACCCACACCTACTGAATTTATGGCAAAAAATCCTGCAAAAAAATGTTCTTTGGTATCATAGGCAAATGTATCAATAATATGGGTTATGGACTTTATCCATCCTTTAGGTAGACTCGTACAAGGCCCTGGGCAACTTCTCGAGATTTCAGTCGCCACGCGATTTGGCCGTTTGCCAGATCTCTTCACCCAACACTCGCAGACCACAAATGCTTGATGTGCATCCAACTTTTGTGAGTTGATAGATGTGTATTCGTGTGCTCAAACTGAGTTGGCGACGAGAGCTCGGCACAGGTGGCTTATAAGCAATGTGGATATCCTTTTTGGAACAAACAGCAAAAGGGATATTGTTTTCGTGGCCGAAAAAGCACAACTTAGGTTACAGCTTAACAAATTAATTTTTTTCGACGTTTCGTTTTTCTAGGGGTCACATTGTGTTAATGTTTTACATTTAGGGTTTAGGGTCAAAGGATTTCGTAAAATTTCGTTAAAATTGGGGACTTCGTTTTTGCATTACCGGAAAGCCACGTTATGCCGAACCCTATTTGCGACGAATTATAAGTAACTGGATGTGTCAGCCAAGTCGTGTCGCGATTGAAATCACCTGAGATATGCCTGGGGCTTAAAATAAAGCAGTAGGTGTGCCTTGTTAATAGTACACCCACTAAAAACACAGTATGTGCTCTCAGATGATGCGACATTCATTACGCACGCTTTGCGTCCTCGAGTTATGTGCCTTAATAATTGAAATTTTGAGAATTTCCGAAGAATGATCGAGTTTCTTGGTATGCAAATTGCTTTATTTGGCGCCTCATCACATGTCAAATGGGGAATCACCGCACGTTCCTTCGTTCGATGTGTACCTAGTGTCATCGAGAGGCGTAAAAACCGACAACAAAAACAGAATCAGTAAACCCTGAAAGGTCAATGATCTTAACTACTCCTGTCACTACTCTGGAGAGCCTGTGTTTATCTTCCTTACATCTTTGAACCCAGAGTTTTTTAATCTACATAATAGGATTACCTGGCAGTGGTTCTGATACGATCCCACACTGCCTTATCACCAGATGTCAGAGATAGCAACACGATTAATGCCAGGCGTTTACATATTGTTTGAACTAAATAGATCCTAAGGCGAAGACGACAGCCGACAAACATTTGTAATGATGTGCTGTTCCATTCCATTCGCTCAGAGCAAAAGTAGTGATTGTTCGAAACAAGACGAGCGTGGTATAAATTATCTTATTGTACAAGAGGAAAATTATCACATACAAAAGGAATTACTCGTAGTTCCATTACAAGACAAGAATCTGTCTTTACAATCTTTGAATGCCAACAAATATAATACTGAACCGGTTTGAAAGCAAAAAATTGCAAGTGAACATAGAAGATTAGCAGACTTAGGCAATAGCTATCACATGCTTTTATCGAAAGCAAACCACCCCTCAAGAACTCGATTTCCTTTGCGATCTACAGGCTGATTTTTCAGTTTTTGCAGAGGAATGTAAAGTGTGTACATCTTGTTATTATCCATCAAGCCACCACAGTTCCATACGGATACTTCCAACACACGAGTGGAAAGCATATGTTCTCCATCCATTATATCATAATAAAGCTATAATAGAAGAAATATATACATATAATTCATACATGTTTTAATTTGCAAGTCAAGATTTCCAACAGACCTCTTTATTGAATGTAGGATTCTGACTAGCTTTGACTATCTGTGTTTTTCGTTTCGTCAGATTTTGTGGATCAGGACGAATGTAAGCCTTCATGTACGAATCTGGAGCCTGTCCAGTACTCAATAGCGCTAGATGCTTCACATGACCTACAAAAGCGTAAGTAGAAAAACAGCTACAAAGCTTCAACTATGCTCCTTACCTACAAATATACTCAGCTGCGAATGCGACTTACTGTCATTAAACTGTATTTTCAGATATACCTCACACTGATTGCGATGAATGTCAGGGTGCACATCTTCGTTATCTATGAAACTTGGTCTAAGGGGAAGGGTAATAACTAGTTTCAAATCACAATATATATATGTTTATAAATCACTAACCAACATACGAATCGATGTCGCTATCTCGAAGTATGAGATGGAAGAAGGTGTACACCAAATCACACTGAAAGCGCTCAGCATAACTACCACGGACTCTTTGCGTCCATAGTTCACTTTTAGCGACTTACATGACAAACTTCTGGACTAAGTGAGAATAGGTACCGCAGGAATGACTCCACATCAACCATGCGTCTTTGTGCTACTTCTCGAACATTAGATCGCATCTTCGTACCCGGGCTAAGTGCAGGAAATGCAACAGTAGGGAACCTCAAAACAGGGCTCGCCATTCTTTTAAAAACCTCACATTTATTAATCAAAAGCGAACATCAAATATGGTATAAGGTAAGGTACTAATTGCTTTGTCATGATAGAACTCAGATACCTTCGTCTTAGTTTGATATAAAGTTCGTTGAACTCGGTGAAGGACCTGTAAACATAAGCTGGGACTGTCTCAGATTCACGTACCACTTCCACTTTGTAGAGCTGAAATTCCAAATGTACAAATAGAAATTAGTTTAGAAAAACAATGGTACTCACATATACTTTGTTGGGAAGAAATCGTTTTTCAAACGATATCACACGAACATTTTTAATTTTTCCATCCGTATTTTGCCTGACAACATCCAAGGTAAAATCAAAATGTGGCAGTGTGAATAACAACGTACGTGTAAAGTTGCGGCACAAAACTAAGGACAGCTTCATTGTTTTTCGAGCTGTTAGCTGCACTGGAACTCATCACCTGAGCCAAAGTATGGAAGAAGAAGTTGATTCGCGGGAAAGCCGATTTCAGTGAATGCTAAAAGTACAAGGTTGTCAGCCACAGACAACAGTGGTGACTAAAAACGAATTACGTTTATCAACTGCGTGAACTGTATCACTGCATCAGTCTCGCTGAGCTCAAGCATCAGATTCTTCTCCACAAAGTTCAAGGACTCTATGTTCATGCCAGAGATGTCAGAACAGGCCATCTGATGAATGTGCCACCATATTTACCGACTCAAAAAGAAGATGAAAAATACTCACTATCTTGAGTAGATTGGTAAGAATACTGTAGTTTCGACGCAGATAATTGAACGCCTTGCAGCAATAATCTATGAACGTCTGGTAGCTTTCTCTCTGCTGATTACCACCATTGATCACGAAGTACATCTCATAGGTGAAAACAAAAGGCACACGGTCCCTGCATATCCACTGGTTATGGTAAGCACTATCTTTTTAAAAGAAAAAACTGAGATAGGAACGAACTAGCAGGAGGAGTGGGACTATTCCCAGTAAGTACAGAAGAAAACAGCCAAATTATTGCTTGCAAAAACAAAAAGAGACTATAAGCAGATAGGATTTTGATAATAATCTATTAATAATAATTACTAATAATTTAATAATAATTTTGATAATTTTGTAATAGTTACGTCAGAGTACTGCAGGACTTTTGCGAGAAAGTCGGTGATGGTACATGCACAGAATAACGATAATTGATAAAAAAAAAGGAAGGAATAGATAAAATCAAGCACAAAATTACTTCAGCGTACCTTCTGAAACCAGCAGCTGTCTGCCAGTCACCCATATATTTCCCAAAATCGATATGGAAAACATGGCCAGCGGTAGTCACAAGTATGTTATCATTATGACGATCACCAATTCCCAACACGTAGGTTGCAACACACCAACCAGCACATGACCGCGTGAAATTATCCAAAGCCTAAGAGATATACAGCAATGTGGTCTGAAAATGGTTACATGCAAAAGAGAACCAAACTTGTTTGTAAAGAAATTCAGTTGTGTTATGTTTCATTAGCCAGTTTCGAAGCACATCTTTGCTGAAAACACCAGTCATCCCAACTTCCTTCTGTATTTCACAAAGTGTTGCACAGTCCGAAACTAACTCAGCCATGCCTAAAGAGAATGCTTATTGTAGAATACAGAAACACTTTACACGGAAATGATGGGACCTCTTGAAGATATCATCCCAGCAATCAGCAAAAAATGCTGTAAACGCTACTTATTGTTCTCATTCACCTTTTCTATACCCGACGGGCATACAGCGAAAAGTTATCATTCTAAGATCAAGATGTTCGCTCAGCCATATGTCATTCATGAATGCAACCATTTGTAGTACCAACGCGTCTTGCCTCATGTCATCACCAGTCTACAACCATAACAATCAGTGATATAACAAATGGGAATGTAAAAGGTGCACCTTATGCATGATTGCGTAAGTGGAGTTGAGTCCGCGGAAAACAATCTTGAGTGGCTTGGCGTTTGAGTTGAAAATTTTGCAATCACGTGTTACAACACCGCTACATCGAAATGACGGAATGCACGGAAGTCGAGCATTGTGTTGAAGCAGGGACCCGTCCAACGCACCAAGACGAGAGCGAAGCAGCGAAAGCTTAAACAAGCACTGAACGTTTTGCCAATATCGAGACAGCTTGTAGTGATCAAGAAAAGACCACACAATGGATAAAGTAAACCTAATAACTGAAGAACATGCCCGTGAGATCGTATTACAAGCTCAAACATATTTCGCACAACAACATTTCAAAAACATCGTGAGAGTATTCGCAAAAGTATGCTAAGAAATACTGTAAAAAAGACAACAAATAGCAACACATAAATTACGAGACTGTTGAAAAGAGAACACATCGTAAGAAAAGATAATAGTATAGAACGAATGCAAAGCTATAAGAAAACATACTCTTGTTTGTTCCGACTCCTCCCTTCGAAGATCCATCTGAATACAATCCAGCTCATTGAGTAACTTATGTTGCCTTGCAATTTCGTCTCTGTAAAGAATAAGAGCCTAAATGTTACACGAAAGAACTGCTGCGGAATTCAAATTGATAGGAATACAAAATGCAAGATCCAGCAGATCTCAAAATACCTCAGATGATCCGTTTCATGACGCTCGAGCAACTCCTTTTGCAGAAGTGTACAACGTTGCGCATATGCAAGATCCATACAGTGATCAATGCGTTGCTGTAGCTGCCTGACAAACTTGTGATTTGATAGAAAATGGAATTGAGGTACGCACCAGTATATTTCAAAGGCAAATCTTCTATCTTTATACGAAAGAGTCAGGAGAGCTATGGCCAGTGAAGAAGATTCAAAAATCTCGAAACGAAGAGCCTCTACGAGCTGCGGAAGAGCATTGAATAGAAAATCTGATGACGCACAGAGGATCCATTCAATTGCCTTTTGTCTTATGCGCATATCCGGGTATCTAGAAACATTAACAGGCTTACAAAAATCTATATTCTGAAAGATATCCGACTAACTGAGGAAGTAGTAATTGCATAGCTTGTACTGGTGAAAGAGGAGCCCAATCCTCGAGAATCTGATACACATTGGAGAGGAAGTAATAACCCCAATCAGTAACAGATGATAGCACCTCAAATAAAAATGGTTTACTTAGACAGAAAACGTTGACAACTAACCAAAGGTAAAGCTTCAGGTAGATGCATAAGATAGGAGCGTTTTTGCCACAGCAACTCCAGCTCGTCGGGTTTTAAGCTGAAAAGAGATGCAAGAATAGTCAGTGCTTCCCACACAACAGAAGATGAACGTAGAATGAATCAAAGAGATCTAGGAAACAAAAACTGCAACGCTCCTTCTAAAAGCTAACAATTCAAACAATTTATAGGAAATCAACGCCAACACTTACGTTTGCGGGTCTCCAGCTTCAACCAGGCTCATCAAGTACTCCTGTGTTTCGCTATCTAACGATGATGGATCTTGTTTGATACTACAAATAACTACAGTAGAGGAAGAATAGCATGAAAAACCAAGCACACCTTTGATATTCAATAGCGACATCGGGGAACACCACCTGATATTCGTAAGAAGGTAAGGTTACGATGAGAATAGGATCCTTTTCGTTGGCAATAAGAGGATTTGGACCCCATGGTTTCAGCACAGGCTCTTTGAGCACCGACAAAGGTACGAAAACCTGTCCTTGACGCAACAACCTAAAAGCTTCCAGCTCTTTTTGCAAACTGTTAAAGCTGCGAAGAGTAGTAAGCGGGAAATAAAGCATCTCACATCTCATGATCGAAAAGCGGCAAGGATGCAAATGCTAATGGCCGACGTGTATTATCAGAACTTCCATCCGCGCCCGCATTGGGCACGGCAGAATAGCCGGAAAGAATAAACATAATTTTCGTCTCCCTCGGGCATGTACACAGTACATCTTCAAAGCAAACCTGTAAACAGAACATGCAATTTGCGAACAAGAGTGGATTTTTTTGAATTCTTAGAATACGTGGCATCTTTCTACAAACCACAAGACTTCAACTCACTTTAATATATGTCCTAAAAGTCTCACAACGATTTGAACTCACATAGACATTCATAGGGATATACGGGAAAAAGGCATCGTGTTTGACAGTTTTTGAAATACATTTGTTATGACCAGCCAGAAGTTGAGTCCCATAGTACACATTAACGGTGACAAAGAATTCCGTATAATCCCTAGAAACAGTGAGCATAATAACACACTAAAGTATACAACAATCACTCACCTCATCCAGTTTTCCACCAGATTATGCACGGAGTTCACCATCACCTTGAGTTTCTCTTTGCAATGCAATATCTCTTTCTTCTGTTTAACCACAGGCTAGACAAGGTATATCGTGTAAATGAGCAGGAAACGAAATAAATAATAAAATTTACCCTCAACGGAGCCAGTTTATAAGAGCTAAGTGTACAGTTACAGTACACAGAGATAAGTCCATGCAATGAAGCAATAAAGTCATTTCGAGCGCACCGCAATTGATCCTGTAATTAGAGTTGCTTTGCTGTTAGGGCTAACCAGAGCAGGATGTGATTACGTTGGTCGCTGCCGTCAGATAGTTCTGAAGATACTGATGCAGATTTATAGGTTCGATGGAATTTATGAGCTTGCACAGCATCTTCACACATTGCCGAACTTTATTAGAAGTGGAAGAAACTAGAAGTAGCATAATGAAAACAACAAATGTGATTTTTTTGAGTGGTGAGCCTTATAAACTAACTTTTCAACGTAGACGATGAATGAAAAGCATTTTCGTACTCGGTCATTTCCGCTTTAAGATGGACGATCATGTTTTCAATGTCTTCCTTATCCAGTATAGAAGAATACTTGAACTGAGCCCTAGATAAACAAGTCGCTTATCGTAAGCATGTACAACTCCCATACTTCATTTTCTCCCATGGCGGCGAAGGGCTGACGGGACGAACAAAGGAGGGCTCAAAGCGTCCAATCTGAACCAAGATCGTGGACCTGTGGAAGCGAAACGCACGTGAACTTACTTCTAACTTGACATCTTTTCCATGCAGTATACAATTGCCAACGTATAGATTATTACCTAGAGCAGCCGTTTTGGGTAAGAACTCGTCCAAGCCGAATATCTGCAAGTATGAACAGCGGCTGGTCGTATGTAGAAGTGACGTTGTATGCATACACAAACAGATGGCAATTTAGAGATTAAACGAGTTTGCCGAAAAGAAAAACAGACAGTAAATTGTTTGTTTTTGCTTACAGCTGACGTTCTTTGGCACTAGAAAGGCGGGTGAAAAAACATTCGACAATTTTCTTCGGATAAGGGTGATGCAAAACGAAAATTTTTGCGGGACTGTGACCACGAATTTCAAGAAGGTTAGTGGCTGCCGCCACGCCGACAAATTAAAAGTCTAATTTGAATCTTAAAATTTCAATTTTAAGTCTAGACAGGTCACTCGTAAATTTTTATAACCCATGTAAGTAACTCCCAAAAAATTCGGGACCGAAACGCTCTCACATTTTTTGTCTCGATCAAGTTATAGTTTTTCGTCTCTTCTATATTGGCACAATAGAGAACGACAAGAATGCTGACGAACTACATAATTCTTTGCTCCAAACTTGATGACGAGCAGATCAGAAACAGTGAACTTACGATTTTGAAAATCGTGAGAGCGATTTACTGACCTGAGAAAGTATTCTATTAAAGGCCGTGTCCCGGGAGAATTTGCATCTCCATCTTTTTCATGTTTTGGACCTTTTCGACCCGCAGACCCCGAATATGAGTCTTGAACGGATGAAAAGACCTTTTTCGGGGCGTTTACCCAATCCCCAAATGGTCGGACGAGAATTTTAATGAAAAGTTGGGAGGTCCTGCACGAAGACCCTGCCTTCTGTAATTTTTGCTTTAAATAGCACACACAGCGCGAGAGAGCGGCCGTGGGGTTCTGTGCCGAACGGTAAGCGAAGTCGTCCGAGCGCGCGCCGGTTCAAGGGCTATTTTCTCGGCCCAGGGAGAACATCAACCAGCCGGATTGCGACTGCAGGTCAGTGGGATGACGAAGAGCTCCACCATAGCAATATCCCCAGGGCGCGAATCTGCCAGGACACTGCTTTTATATTACTTTGGTCCGAAAGTTCTGTCCCACCATTTTCAAAAAATCGTAACTTCGTTCTAACACGATGTTTTTGCGGCTAAAACCTCATCGAAAAGAGCAAGTCATGCACTTTCTAAAACTGCGCTGGCTGCTATTTACAATGCTCTGGATGCAGAGATAAAATTGGGAAGAGAAAATTACTTCAATTTCGGAATTTTTAAAGCCCGTTAAAAAATCCAAAAGTGTGCCATAAAATCCAAAAAAGCCAGTAGCCTAGGTTCTGTGATCCCCTCTTTCTATATGAGCGAAATTTGCGCTGATGGAGCTCTTCCTAGAAAAGTTATGATTTTCAAGAAAAAATGCCAAAAAATCGGTTTCTTCAGAAAATTGATTTTTTGACATTTGATTTAAAAAAATCATGATTTTTCAAAGAACAGCTCGATCAGCGCGAACTTTGCTCAGCCAGAAAGAGGGGATAAAATAGTCTAGGTTACTGGCTGTTTCCGATTTTCTGACACAGTTTTGGAATTTTTAACGGATTTGCCTCAAAATTCCGAAACTGAAGTGATTTCGTTTTCCCAATTTTATCTCTGCTTTCAGAGCTTAATAGATAGCAACCAAGATGATTCTAAAAAGCGCATGAGTTGCTGTTTTCAATGTGGTTTTAGCCATGCAAAAACATCGTGTTAGAAAGAAGTTACGATTTTTTGAAAATGGTGGGACAGAACTGTCGGACCTACCTAATAGTTTTGTGAAGGGGGTTTCATAGTCTCGAATGAGAACCTTGAAAGTCCGAATTTACATTGGAAATAAATTGAACTCTAGATATGAAAATCTAATGACATTAAATGAGCTCCATTCGATACGCCTGCTGCCGCCACACTTGCGAAAAGAATTTAGTCAAAAATTTGTGGAGGGCGTGATAAGCCACGCAAACCTGTGCTTTTCCTCCTCACCGAAAAGATTCGCGGAAAGGATACGGGTCTATATCAACAATACTGATAAAGTGCAGGAGGGGCAAGGGAAAGGGCAAATGAACCGATGCGGAGATGAACTTGGATCAGAACATCTTTCAGACAATCAAAAAAAAAATGAGAAACCTCAGCCATGACTCAAAATCTCAGAGAATTTTGGTTGTAAGTACAATGAGATGAAGTAGAGGAACAAACTTGTGACGTACCTTCAAGCCATATCTCTCAACTGGGACCCCATTGACTAGTTCGGAGTCACTCAATAAGTCCGCGAGTAGTTGTGTAATTAGCAACTCTACTGAAGTTTCCGTAGCAGATGTGAAAGCCAGCTCACTTTGATCGCAGTGCGGCCACCTGAAGGACCTTTTTTTACCAGATTTCACCAGGAGAGTGCTAGTCCGTACGTCATGCAATTTTAGCAAAATAATTAGGAATGCTTGCAATAATCTTCCCAGCTGATGAGCCTTTCCCAATTAGACTCGATCAAAACAAACGACTTGACTCACGTGTAATCCTTGCTGACAACAATTTTCACACTTTTTGCTGACGTTGTCATATAGTCAGCGATTGGTGACATGAAAAACAGCGACGATGAAGTACCGTTCTTCATACCCTTTTCTTTGACTATGGCGATCTGAAAAAGTCTGAAGAGCGGTGAAATCAATGCGCAACAGCACTTACGATTGCCACACACCTGCTGAAGAACGGATGGCACATGATCCTGCAAAGAAATGCAATCCAAAGACAACCAATTCTGAACACTGTTCTCCTTGTTTTCTTCTTCATTATTTGCTTCTTTTTTCAACTGTGTTCGAGTGACAGAAGGCACTTCGACTGGAATCAAGGGGTTGTGTGCAGATGAGAAACAACTCGATTGCTTTGGTTACCTTCTTCAACACTGCTACCAGGTACCTGCACCGCTGATAAGGTTTGTGAACGCTTTTCAGGAGGACGATAAAGAGGATCGAACTCTCGACGAATCTGCACATGAATTTGAACAACAGAAAAAATTTAAGAATGAGAAGGAACCTGCTCTAGAGTCAACTCCGGGCAATTATCATCTTCCACAGAACCAAGATCTATCAAATCACCATTCTGAAGGCGATTTGAGCATACTGTGTAAGGTACATATAGTTCAGCGTTTACGTAAGGAATACTTTCAGATGGACTGAAATTAAAATCTTGATATCAGAGAATTTAATAAAATTATAAAAATGAAGAATGCAAGCAAAAACTGATGCTTACTCAATTGTTGGCATGAATGGCGAATCAGTGCTAGAAGTGGGTTGACCGCTGCCTTGAGAAAATGCTAAAAACGGGATCTTACACCACATGCATTGATGCAGAACTATTTGAAAACATCTCCACAAACCAGGATATAGTGATCCTGTACTGCCTATCGGTAAAGAAGTCTGCTCAGGTCGGTGAGTTCTTGGTGGCAAAGGTGGAGGTACATCGTAAAGCACTAGAATGATGCTTGTACGGTGCGGTACTACAAGAAGGACAAAATCCAAGTTCTTGCATAGCTCAAGCGAAAAGTAGCACTTGTTTTTGTACGTAAAGTTGTGGTGCTTCCTCTTTCCACTTTGTTACTGCAATGAAAAGAGAGGAAACGTTGAGAAATGAGGCAGACACAGTTCCTCTGCTTCCCCAAGTAAGGACACATCAGGAATGCATCATGTATGGAACAGAAACACCAAAGAGTTGCTACGCTTGTTTGAAACCTATGAGAGAAATGTCGAAACAACCATTACACATTTTGTTGTCGACATTACACATTTCCAGCCGTCGAAAGCGACGAAAAATCGGCTCTAGCATGCAACAGCCTGCTCAATATACTGCAATTTCATAAGTATGAACTCATAAGATCTTTGAAGAAGATGCTCATGATTCCCGTTATTATTGGACTCCAAATTTGTGTATTGATGAGCAACGATATAGAACGAACTATCATTAAACTCAAAATTATTACTGAAGTGAGTTCGAAGGCAAAAGAAAAACAATACAAGAAAAGCGAAGAACTTAGTACAACAAAGGAAGATGTCGACTTGACTCACAGTTCAAATCCGGAGATGGAGGAAACGGAGGCCTGCGTTGGTAAGTCTTTGGAGGCAAAGCTGGAGGCGTTGGCAAGGATGTGGGCACAGCATTTAGTATTGTATGATCATTATTGGAATAGAAAAGTGGGGACTGACGTCGAGGATCAGTATTCGAACACTGAGGCTGGCCAAAATAGTGACCTGAGTTGAGACTAAAGAAAAGCAATTGAACCAGGATAAAGATTTATGAACGAATCACTGGCAAGTACTCACGTTTGCTCCGCGTCAAAACTTGACTGACTATACAACCGCTTAATTTGATTGATCTGTTCCCTTCGCACAGGGTTTTCAGGGGATTCGAAGCGTATCAAATCGTTCCTTTCATTCCTTCGCCGTTCCTCTTCCTCGTAAGTCTTCCTGGATCAAGCTTGTTTAGAGTTTATTTCCAGGCAACCAAACCTACTTGCTGAGCTCTAGAGCCAACTGTAACTCGGTGTCTGTAATATTCTCCGCCATCATGTCTCAAAATGAAAACATCTGTAAAATTTCAAGTTAAAATAGTACATGTTAGAATTTGCCAAAGATCACCCTGTAAGCAATAAGCTGTACAACCATTTTATCTCTACCTAGCTAAACAATGAAATACGGAAACATTAACGACATAAATCAAAACAAAGTGAGCAAGAAAAAAACCTTGAACATGCATTCTAATCTATGCATCAATATAATTACCTAAACAAGTGCTGCATAGTTAGAATGAAATACAGCACAGTACAGTCGTCACATATGTAATTTGTGGTGCAATTTACCGCTGCGCACGAATTTACGCACTTGAGGAGAAGCGGGGGGGGGGGGGGGGGAAGGGGAACGATTTCGGTCTGAGAAAGGAAGGAAGGTTAGTCGAATTGGCTTTTTAAGATGAAATGTACATTGTACTGTCGAGCTTGGAACTCTGATTCCATATCTACTTTTGCTATCTGCTGCGGGCTTCTGGGCGAAGTTATGAAGGTTTTTGTGGGTTATGAATGCAAGATTAGTGTGAATTCAGTCGCAACCTTTCCTTAACGTTCAAATGAGGCAGCAGCGAGTTGGTGTTTTTGAATCAAGAATATTCACTGCACCAAGTGACCCGACTATAAGCCCTAGAAAAATTTTTACGAATGATTTTATCCTAATCTTGCATTTGACTTTCTACTCACAAAAACCTTCATAACCCCTCGCTCAGACCGTCAGCATATAGCGAAGGCAGATTTGGAATCGGCGTTTCAAGCTCTATAAGAAAGTTTACATCTCATCTTAAAGGGTCACCGACCAGCCTTCATTCCTTTGTGAGGATCAGGCTGCCTTCATAGTGATCCCAAATTTCGAACAGTTTCAGCACAGTGTTCAGTTCGAGCGCTGTGCTGGAACTGTTAACTTCCGAATCAGTATGAACGCAGTCTCAAGCGCTGACGAGCTTGAGGTCAGATAGCAAAAACGAGTCATAGCAAAGAATTCTTCCAAAAATGAAGTCGGGGGGGGGGGGGGGGGGGGTTGAGGAGAAAATGGCCTTAGTACGCAAGAACGCAGCGAGCTAAAGTGCAAAGTCGCAGCAAAGTGTACCAAGTACGGCTTTGAATCAAGTGCTCGCTGAGACCCGGGCATACTTCACGCGATTTTAGTCTCTAACAATAAGCGACTTGGCAATACTTCATTAATTTATAAATCATCGTGAACACATTCTGGATGCAAAGAAAGCAGAGCATTGTAATTTTCGGAATTTATACAAGCTGCGCATTTTTCGTCTGCCAGTTTCCGATTTGAAGAGATCTAGCGAATTGCCAATTTGCGTGACGATTGAAATAGCATGAAGTATGTCCGGGGTCCAATGAGGAAAACAATATATGCTCTGTTTCGCCGTACGCACCCAGACGTAGCCGTGATCTACAGCGAACATGTGGACAAAAAATTGTGCAGTTCACTTGTTAATTGACTGCTGGTTGAAGTCTCCATTACACCTTTGCGACTGTCGCTGCATAGGGGCAGGCAGAGGCGGTGACTGACGCGTTGCCGTCGAGATAAAGTGCGCGTTTATTAGTTTCAAAACTTCGGAATCATCTCCATTACCAAGCTACAATGAGGATGATGCAAAATTCTACCGAAAGTCTGTGGGCAATCCAGAAGTGCTAGCGATTTTATCGGTGTTTACGACATGATTATACAACTTCGAGATAAGGTCATAACCAAACATCAGCTGATGGTTACGATTGACAGGTGGCATTGAACATTTGAGGCTGGATTCTCTATGATTTGCAGAAAAACAGAGATCAAAGGAAACTTCCTCAGTCATTGAACTAGCAGAGCTACATAGTAGTATTCTACACATAAAACACACTACTTCTACACGTAAAACGTCACAAGTAATCTTTTTTTTCTCTAGCAGTAAGAGATGTATGTAGCAGCTAAGATTCTTGTTGAATAGGATTTTGAGCTAAATTCAGTAATTCGAATTCTTAGAACCATATCGGAGAAAATCGTCAGAACAGAAATGCCTAATGTGACTCTGTGTCCTTGTTTCTCTAGTGATTATCTGCCAGCATTTATTCTTTGGAGGTTAGATCCGTGCGAAAGTTCTTTTCGTTTGCACCTCGCAAAACCCGTAGAGTAAGGATAAACAAATAATTTAAGCACTATCTTACGCAGAATTTCTTCCTCTTTCCAGCAGCTACGTTCTCGTTGCAATTACAAGCGCCGAGAGAATCGTCGAAAATTACGACTCTTCATTCTTATTATGTCTGATTTAGCTAATTTCTAAATTTTTGCCTGACAATGAGACTTTTAAATGTGCATCAATAGCTACAGATAAAGCAATCCTTTTGTGGATCAAGCAATATTCTTTTATCTCTTTGGCATGCTTCTTAGAATTGCTAAGATATATATTCTAAAGTGACCAGATTTCATAATCGGTTATTCAACCTCGTTAAACTCAAAATGGTATACGGTTTGGGTGATTCGGTGCATCTTTTTTTCGTCTTTTTAGCATTCATCATTTCGTTGCAATAAATGCGACTTTAACAAACAAAATCACCGTATTCTCAATTTTCGCACTATTGTACCTTCAAAAGCTGCAGGTTTTGAGGCGATAGCGGCTCATTTACCTTCTAAATTTAGTAATAGTAACAATCGAGTTTTGAAACCTCGATGTTCTGAAAATTTTGGGTCTTGGTGCAATTGTATTAGGTTCACCATTTTGCACCATTTTTCAAAAATCCTAACTTCCTCTCACTATAGTCTTGCTTGGCAGATTAGAAATAACAAAGCATATAATCCTAATGACACTTTGCTTTCTCCTTTTGAGCTCCTATTGCATAAATAAAATTGAAAAAAAAAATAAGATTATTGGAGATTCGAGGCAAGCTCGTTAAAAGTCCACAAACTGTGGTATAAAACACAGGAAAGCAAGTGTATCGGTTTTCTAACCTCCTCTTAACTGAGCAAAGTTTGCGCTGGTCTACTTCTTCTTTGAAAAGTTATGATTTTTGAGAAAAAATGCTCGAACACTTTTCCTAAGGGACTAATTTTTTGGCATTCTTTCTCGAACATAACTTTTCAAAGATCCTCAAATGAAACCAGAGCTTAATAAGGAGCAAGCAAAGTGTCCTTAGAATGTATATACTTCACTCCTTTCAATGGTGATTTTACCATGCATCACTTTCGTGAGAGAAGGAATTTTCGAATTTTGAAAAAGGTGCGAACGAACTTTTGGTCCAACTTATTATCTCATACGGTTATTTTCAGAGCTCGCGTCTTTTGAAAAATTTTTCAGTAAAATTCTTGGAAGAAAGCCAGAGAAATGTAAAAATTGCATCAATTTGCAAGAAGTATGCGCAAAAGTCTTGAAGAAAATTTTCTGAAAACAAGCAGAAAATAAGCATCTTAAATATGAAGGGTAGTCATCTTCGGCAATCATCTCCGTACCCATCGTTGAGGTCACATTGGAAACATAACCGCTAGAAAGGGGAAAAAAACTCTGTATTGGATAGTGCTTGAGCTAATTGTTTTTCTTTACTCTATGGGATTTGAGAGTAGCTCCAATAAACGGATAGAAGTTTTGCATCGAGATAATATCTCGCGAGAAGAGTCGGGTTATCGTGCGAGGGTCTTCTATTTGAGAAGTTGCAGGTAGTAGCCAAAGCACTTCCCCCCCCCTTTAAAACCCTAAATCAACAACATTTTGGCTACAAATTGGAAAAGAGTTGGATGAGTCTGAGTGAAATCATCCCTTGAGGGTACAGTCCATCATAATGCACCTCACGATGACAGTGAATTTTTCATTTGAAGATGCAAGCGAAGAGTAAGTTTCACTATATCCTTCGAGCTTCTCATTCGCTAATCATTACATTTCGAAAAAAACTTTCAATTAGAATATCAAAGAAAAAGATGTGAACTTCAGCTAATTCTTCCGAGTGTTCTTCCATCGCATTTGTATGTAAGCCCTTTTTAAGAAACTTTGGACCGGAGTCAAGCTTGTGATGCGACTGTCGCAACGGGGGGTCGTAAGAGGGTATCTAAGGTGGGGGGGGGGGTCGTAAGAGGAGGTAGTTAGACTAAAATACCCTAGGCTTCAAAGGGAATCAAAAAGCAAGCAATTAGTTATGTTCTTTACAATAAATCTATGAAGAAGTGGAAATCAGAATAAAAAAGATAAAAAATCTGTAGAAATTCTCAAAAAAAACATTTACAAGAGCTCAAAACACTTTTGAAGGATGTATTATTTGATAAAAATGCTAAATGTACCGATTGCCCTAGAAATCTTGCTTCTGAAGCTTTCCTGAAGTCTCACACACTCGACTAAAGCGAATGTCTTTACCAGCTGTGACAATCATAAAACTCCAAATCTTTTTGTAATGTTTTTTACGGGCTCATATGATTTATCTGTACTTTTGAGATGCTCCGCTATATCAGTGCAAAATTTGGTGTTATTTTGTCAACTGTGGATTTTCTTATGATTTTACTAGCTGGCTTACCCGGCTCCGCTGTATGTTCCGAATAGAAAATTCCATTTCTGAACCGATCGTGACCAAACTTAGCACACATACACTTCGGGCCCCGGCGGGTGTCATAGGCTACTTTTCGCTATCGATCGATATCGATTTTATCGATTTTTTGCAAAATTTGAGTTACGGGGCTGGAATTTGGCAGGGGGTGTAATCGAGCATGCTGATCACCCCCACGGGGGTGATCAGCATGCTCGATTACCCCCCTGTGCCAACTCCCAGCCCCGTAGCTCAAATTTTGCGAAAAATCGATAAAATCGATATCGATCGATGACGAAAAGTAGCCTATGACAACCGCCGGGGCCCGAAGTGTATGTGTGCCAAGTTTGGTCCCGATCGGTTTAGAAATGGAATTTTCTATTCGGAACATACGTACAGACAGACAGATATACATACAGACATACAGACATACAGACATACAAACAGACATTCAGCTTTATATATAAGATGTATGGTAGCAAAAAGTCAGGAAAGGGGGGTCGTATCTGGGTCGCATCTAAATTTCTCCGGAGCTATTGAAGCTTGTTGGCTGCAATTCTGCTGTAATATAAGGCCATCCTCCTACTTTCCCTCGTAAAAATTGCAGGCTGTTTTAAAACTTCTCTGGTAAGTTACAAAATTTCAAGCTCAAAAATCCCACTTTTTGCTTTCTAGGATTGCATCTAAATTTGCGAGAGTCGCATCTAGATTTTTTCGAGCTTACTGCTTCTCAAAAGCTGAAACTTTTTCTTTGGATAGTCTGGGCACTATGCTACAGAGCCTGTGCTTTGCAGCCTCTCAGTCTTTTCCTGGCCTTAGTTACAAATTTTCAAACTACCGTGCTCATGCACGTTTTTGACGTCGTTCTGGACGGCGCTCAAGCGGTTTTTTCGCGGGGAAAACTGTGGAAGAGGTAGGAAGTAAGCTTCTTAGTCGAAAACATCTTTTGTAGTTCAGAATGTCATTTTTTCTCCATGCAAAAATTTGTGTCGCTTACGGGAATCGAATTTGCTGGCCTGAAGTATGCCTGAAAATTCAAAAAAAACTTGCAGAATCTCAAACATTATTAAAGGTGTGTATGTGTGCTACAGATGATGGACGCACCCATTGGGCTAGAAATTCTGCTTCCGAAACCTCACTGAAGTTCTCACGCAGGTGTTTTTTGAGATTGACATTCGTTTATGCAGGTTACCGCGAGGAATGTGGGAAGGGGAAGTAAGGGGGATCAATGAGTGGAGGGTAGGGAGGGGGGAGAGGAGGGGGAAGAGGGGGGGGGGTTGTACGGATGGGTACCTTCAAGGGGGGGGGGATCGTAAATGAGGGTCCCGGATCGCATCAGCACGCTTGGCCCTGCTTTGGACCCTTTTTTGGACCCTTTTCTTGTCACTTCGATACCATTTATGTGATAGAACTTCTTGACAAGGATTTTGAGTTTTACTAAAGTCCATAGGTTGAGCGCCACACTGTGCTCTAAGCTTTATCTAATCTCCAAGATAATCCTTGACTCTTCATGCGCATGAAGGGGAGCTTGATCTGTGGTAGCTCGCTGAAAAAAAAGCATAGGGGTAGGCTTACACTGTTTGCGTACTTTTCAATAGACTGAAAATTCTGCGTGGTTGCCTCTATTTTTTGAATCTTTGAACTTCGTCAAGCTGTGTGATATCTGCCAATAGACAAAAATATGTTAAGAAGGAGCATGTTGAGCAATTAGAAAGCTCTAAGTTCTTCCTGATTATTTGAATTTGTGAAGTTGAAGTTTTTAGTTTCACATAAGTGCTCCACTTCACAACTCCAATGTAGGTGAGAGACATAGCATAGATGCCTAGCTCTTACATTCTCCTGAGCTTTAGAAAACAGAACAGATACTTGTTTCATTAAAGACAATAAATGGAGGTTGAAGCAAACTACTTCGAGTAGTTTTGATCGTGAGTACGGTATGCAGGAACCAGGGACATCCAGAAAAATTTCCACTATTGCAACCTGCAAGCTGCGGGTTGGGATGTAATGCTATAGATCTTCTTTCTAGATTGATTTTTTGGTTGATTTTCTTGCACGCTAAGATATCCTTATAATGACACAACTAAGCCATATGGCGATGTGCAAAATTTTTATCACCTCCATCAGACTATTTTGCAAAAAGGAGTGTGCGGAGACTTGGGCTATTTACAAACTTTCTCTATCAACGACTGTGATAAACCGTAGATATATATAATTTCTTCCAATGAATGTGGAAAGGCTCCAAATCTTTTTTGATGTGTTTACGCTCGAAAAGTAGTTTACAATTATTACACAACTATGATTCTGAGTTAGGAAGCAGCACTCGGATTTCGTTATAATCTGATGAATACCCATTTTGTTTCGTGTATTTTTTAGCGCTTTTTGAATTTGTTACCGCTTCCATACTTGATTAGCACGAATAAGCTTTGCTGTGGTTCACGTATTCCGTATATTATGCGTAGGATAGCTTTTAAATGTTGAGTTTTGGCCGCTGACCTTCTATTACTTCGCGTCAAAACAAGATAAAAGCTAGGAACCTAGAAACACCTATTGTGACCTCAAAGCAATGCGGAACCAGGAGCGCAATCTGCCAAAAGCAAAGTCTTTTTTGTCATAGTGCTTTCCATCTTGTTTTCAGGCCATGCCGTCCCGCTGAGCACTGCTACAAACACTGAAATTTTCATTCGCTGAACATTCGAGTTTGTTTCCTAGAAATCGTCTTGGCCACATACGGACACAAAAAGCTGAGAAGATTTACATTCTCCTACTAGGCCTCCATGCATGATGAACTAAAGAATTTCTTTGTTGTGTGGCTCTCAGCTTGCGGTCGCAAACGCGCATTCTTTAGGAAGAGCTCATGCGGAAGGCGACGCACCCCCGATTTGGCAAACGTCTGCCCATTAGGATCCCGCCGATTCTAGCTCTCGATTAATTTACTGCCATAATAATTTGAAAGAATGTTGTCTGAGGTGAGTTTTTTTCAGCTGGTGGAGGGGGGGGGGGGAGTACGGGGAATCTTAGGGAGGTGACTTCCGCTTGCACTCGCTGACTGGCTATACGCACTAAAGCCTGAATGCTCTCGATCTGCGAGCATTCAATTAGTGCAATGCGAGATTTAGGGGAGGGGGGGGGGGGGTGGACGAAGTTTGTCAACGGGCTTACATAACTCCATCCTTACAATCAGTTCGGGCTTGAGGGAGAAACAGCGAAAGAGGGCGGACGCTCCAGGCGACAATTAGGACGAACTGACGCTCACGAACAGCTACGATTATAAAACCGCTAACTAACGCTATTCTTAGAATGGATTCCAATGACACACAGGTATGGAAGGTTACTCACTATATTCGGTTGTCTCCACTAGGAAGAGCTCATGATTATGATGCAGAGGGAAAGCTATATTGTTTTTATTAGGCAGTGCACTTCCGTAGTCAAGTTGATATAAGTTATATGAAGTGACATATTCTCACATTACATTTTGCCCCAATGCATTTATCGTGTATGTTCACGCAGTCTTATCCTATCTACCGATCTCTGCTACCAGCACAATTTCATCTACTTTTTGAAGAATCTAGATACTTTTACCGTTTAGAAGTTAATTCTTGGTGAACCTACTCGTGAACTCGAATTGAGACCAAAGCTTTACTAGTTGCGTGTCAGCTATAATCTCGCAGTGTTGCTTCGAATTAGTCTTCATTCAATGCTTCAGTTTACATCTTCTATAGGCTCCGATGAGCATTGTGCTTGCGGGTGGAGATATATGTCCGAATCAAAACAAAAACTGGAATTCTTACAAGCAAGATGTGGTCTAAGATGCCCGCCACATTTGAAACATGCAATGTACTTCCTCGATTTGGATTTTGTAGTTTATGCTTTTGTTGTTGTTTTTTTAAATGCATTTGCATTCGATCTTTTCTCTATTCAGTTCATTATCTTGTCTGCTAATTCGACATTTTCGCTTTCTCCCATTGAAGCCGCTGCTCCATCCCTTCTGCAAGCTTTGGTCCACAAAAACTTTCATTCTCATAATGCATTCTCGTTTTGTAGTTTAACAAACCGCAAATGAACTAGAATTTGAACTAAAGTATGCGGAATTTGCATAGATTGATGTCTTTCCTTCCGGTTTCTTACAAGACTTCTTTTGATAATCTCTCTTCGTCGAAAAGCTGACGTACCTTCTTTACCATGCCGTTTATGAGTTCTTTTATAAGTTTTTTTCCAACAGTTATCACTCTGGGCCTGACGTTAGTGCATGTCTTACGAGTTTGCACTTTCATAGTCCAATGAATAATAAATAAGCAATCTGGTAGAGATTCTGACTTACATTAACTTCTTTGCCAAGCCTTGGGGAGGTTTTGTGAGTCTTTAATGTATTTCGTGCGAAACCTCGTAATTGTATTTGAAAGAATTCTGTAGATACTTTGCCACTGAGCTTCTATTTGCTCTATTCTAACTATAGTCCTACATCACACCTATAATTCCCAGAGTGCATCGACTGCTCCCTTTCAATTTGAACTTTTCATGTTACGATATTTCCAGAGTATTTTCATTTCAGGACATGATTCTTGGCACAATACACTCTGTGCGAGAGAGTGTGATAAATAACACAGGCTTTGCCACCGAAGCCCCAATTCGAAACACTCCAGTTTTCATACCCACCTTGGAGCTCGTTTTTGGTACTGTTACCTACTTGGTATGTGCAAGATCTAATTTATATCTATGTATCTGTAGCTTGCGTTTTTCTTGAATCAGTATTTTGTATAAAAAAAACCTATTCTAGCAATTTCGAAAAACATTTTCTATCGAAAAGAATAGTTATAGTTGGGATAGCATCATCTAACGATCGTTCAGAAAGAGAGTTTGCCCAAAGTTTGATTGGCTTTTATATTAATTTCACCTTGAGATGTTTCCGTATTTACTTCAGTTCCACCTGCCGCACAATCAAAAGCGACTGTAGCCCATGCTAGATCCACAGCATTATGTGGGTGAATTGATAGAGATCTCGTGCACATTCAAGCCATTTTCAAAAAATCTAAATTGCCTACCTTTGCAAGAATGTTCCATTGGATTCGAAAAATGAAACGCTGTGAATGGCAAAAGTAAATGGCAAAATTCTGTGAGCACGCACACAGTTCACAGAATTTGTATCCAAGTAATACGGACGAATAGAAAAAAAATTATCAAACAAAACCTTGAGCACCAATACTCTACACCCATTTGAACTGAGATTACAAAAACGTAGCTTTGTCACAGGTCCATTTCAAATTTTCATTTTGCTCTGCAGATCATCATAGCCATGACTGTCGCTGGTAATATCATGGTCGTTGTTGCTGTCTTCACCTACAGGCCGTTGAAGAAAGTCCAGAATTATTTTCTAGTCTCTCTTGCTGTTTCCGATCTTTGTGTGGCGATATTTGTGATGCCACTGCACGTCGTGAAATTTTTAGCTAGTAAGTTACTTCTTTTTTTTACACTATTCGGTACTGTAAGCTAAAGGTCACTTGCTTTGAAAAATGTGCAAAATATTCTGGCACGCCTGAGAAGATTTGAAGCAAGATGCGATTTACCTATGATTGACGTGATATTTTTTTTTGTTATTTATTTGTGATAGCCACGGCGATATTGTGACAATATAGAGATGTTTCGCGTCGCACATAGCTAAATAAAATTGTGTTAATCATGAAAAGTTTTGATTAAGTGACATGCAATCTGGGATTCACCCAGTAAATGGGCCAGCTCATTAAGAAAAATTTTCTGTGTTCAGAGTACAATTTCCTGACCTGAGATTTATCTCTATGAAACACTTCCAACGTTCAGAAAAAGGTCAAAGCAGTCAAATCTCCCAATTCACTGAAATTGCGTAGTCACTACGAATGGCTGTAATTGCGTAGCTTGCATAGTAAAGTACATTGATCCTTAGATAAGTCCCCTCAAAACTGGGGGTGTGGGAAGTCGTCCAAGGCATGAAATCACAAAATGGTGTGATCCGCACATAAATTTTCGGGGATACTCTTTGAGAAAGAAGTTTAAGCAAAACATGCTTTTTTGTTTTTTCTTCACGATGACTTGTTTGGTCACGAATATAATGCTGAGGTGGAGCTCGGGCTTTCGCTGATCCCATGTGTGAACATAGGGAATTACCCGGCAAGGCGGGAAAGCGCCGCGACCGAAAAAGAAATTTGTTTGCATAAGTTGGACTAAAAGCTTCCATAGTCACTTTTCAATTTTCCAGATGGTCGATGGCTTATGGGTGTAACAATTTGTCAGCTATTTACTACTGCCGATATTCTACTATGCACCTCATCGATATTGAACCTCTGCGCAATTGCAATTGATAGGTAAGTAAATATATTTATTTTATAGATAAAAAATAGGAAATATATTTTTACTATTGAGAAAGATACGAACAATCAGTTTTTCAGATATTGTGCCATTCATGACCCTATAAATTATGCTCAAAGACGAACTCCACGCTTTGTTTGTGGTGTCATTGCCATTGTAAGTGTTTCCACATTTTCAACTTTCGAAAATAAAAAATCATACAGTTGACGCAACTGCGGAAATAAAGTGCTTTTTGAGAATTCCGCAAGAGTAATTTTGCTACAACAGCCCTTACTGTGAATTTGTTGTATAAGCTGGGAGCAGTCCATGGAGTCAGAGTGAGCGTCGAGTCTGGCGTTAATTATCCTAACAGGCCAATTGTCAAGTGCCGAGAAAACAGAACTAGGCTAATCACAGATGGCCGCAACTCCTCTCGAAGCAGAGCGACTCCGAGCTGAACTTATCCCTCTCCAAAACGCCAGAAGAGCAGCAAATATAAGAAGCTCATCAAAATGCGCATTCAAACAACATTCGCGCTCATCTGCGTCATTTCAAGCGGCGACAGCGCGAGAGCACTTTGTAGCAATGAAGAGATGTCGAAACAATGAGTTTGGAAGGCTAAGCAAGTGCTCTCAACGCCGTCTATCGGGGTTCAAAAAACAGCGCCGCCGGGGAGGGCTTCAAGTAGTGTGCGTTGAGATTAAGAGACTAGGAGACAAATTTATTCTCACGAGCAATCTTCGCTTGAATGGAATGCGGAAAATGTGCAATTGTAGACTCGGATTGTTTATGATAAGTGAACATCAACTGCTGTGGCAGATTTTTTATTTTTGGAGAGGACGGGGTACACGGAAATTTTCCAATGAAGAGGTGTAACGCTGACCACGCTCATTGTAAGATTCTTCAAAAAATATTTTTTCAGGAATATAACCGAAAATTCCGTTATAAACATAAAAATTTTTTCCCAAAATTGCCTACAAATGGAGATTCACTTCCACAACTTCACGACTCATATGTAAATTCAAAATTTCACACATTCTCGTTGGAAGGATGGGCTATCGTTAAATATCATGCACTTTTCTCCAGATTCTGTTGCCTATTTGTCATTTTGATGGACAGCTCTATTTTCAATGGTAGCTTTTTAATAAGTCCAAAAAGAGGAACTATTTTGAAGGCAATCCATCTTAGTAACTGATAATGGTGATCAGGCTCAAACTTGATCGTAGTGCATCACTTCACTAGCTCCTCTATTCGACCGAGCTGATGAGTCTGAAACGCATGTAACTTTGGATGGAGAGGAGAAATTTGGACGACATTATTGAAAGTATTTTAAACCACCAGCTCACCAAAAAAAGAACCTTTGTATCTTCCGTGCAAAAGGCACATCGAATATCCGATAAACTTCCATCACATTCTATTAAGCCAGCATGTGCAAAGCTTGGAAATTCGATTTATGTTTCTACTTTTTTCGGCAAGCTTTCAGAGGACATTGCAAGATTCAACATAGTAGTCGAAACAACAGAGAACAACTAAAATGAATTCTAGGGCGTTGAGGTTGAAGTAAATTTTACCCATCGCTTTGCTCTAGGTATGGGTACTATCCGTCATCATATCTGTGCCGCCTCTGATTGGCTGGAATGACTGGTCTTCACAAAAACTTCGGGATCACTGCGAACTTAGCTCAGAAAGGTTTGTGTTTAGATCGGAATGTTCTGTTTGATTATTTCCGTCATGCTCTTGTCTTCCGTAATTCAATGTAATCAAAAGCATTAATGTGATTATAGGCAAGCACTTTCTTGTACATTGTTTAGTCTGTTCGCATCCTTTTTGTTAAGCAGTACTCATTTCAGCAGTCTTCCGCAATTATATCTCAGTTCGGTGGAAAAGAGCTTTTGTTACATAAACGTTAAAAATCACAAAGAAGTAACATGAGAGGGAAGAAATAGAGGAAATTGCAGAATCAACTTGCCAGTAGCAATTTAGAAAGTAGTCATTTACGTGTGAAAAACAATACCAAATAAAGGACAAAAGGCTATAATTTGTGACAACCTCCCCTCCACTTATCTCAGCCTAGTGTTTGAAAGGCAACATCGAGAAGGAGGTTGAACAGAGCAAACCAGCGCTACTAAATAAATTTTAGGCTTTGAAAATTTTGCGTGGCTTTTTGACCCCTGATGTACATTTGAAGTTTTACCTAAGACAAATGAAGGGCAATGTGCGTTTTTGCTTCAAATGTTCTTTTGTTAACACATTGACGACCATGCAGATTTTTAGTTATCTGCCTTTTGGCCTTTTTACGGACCATCCCACTTTTTCAACTATAATTACGCATAGTGCCATCTACAGTACTCCTACAGTAGCGTCAATGTGTTAAAAAATAAGGTCATCAATACTGGTTAGCTGCGACTTGTGCTCTCTCCAAAATGACTACTTGCGAAATCTAGCACCACATCGTAAGCTTTCGAATTCGCTTTGTTCTAAGAACTACTTCGAGTTGAATCTGTTTCGAAAAAAATTTGATACCTCTTTAAAGTTGCCCTCTAAAGACATGCGAATGTGGTTAGTGTTGAGGACAAGTTTTACTTGCAATACGTTTTGGCTGTATGAAAGTATTCACCTCTAAATATCGTTGTAAGACCTCTTTACCCGGATATCCACGTGTTACCAGAGCGTTCTGAGGTTTCTTGCGGCATAGAAAATTTTTAGGCTAGCTTTCACTTTGTGACTGTCGTTCCTCTCTGATCTAGCCAGATATTTACAAAATCGTTCTCGTTTTTCTCGTTTATATATTTGTCGCAAATCATAACTCGAAATTCACTCAAGATGCTCCTAAGTCCTTTTCATTGTATGACAAAGATGATTAGCTAAACTTAACTTTAGTGCATCAGACCGAAAGATCTCAAAAAACAAACAGATTTGCGTAGGCGTAACTCACCTGTTCAAGTAGACATATTCAGTCAAAAATTAGCGTGTATGCATTGTTGTCGCTCAAAGTATTTCGCTGACCTTTGGATATTATTGTTAATGTATGTTTTCAGAGCCTTCGTTGTATTTTCTGCGTCTGGTTCGTTTTTTCTACCTCTTCTAGTGATGATTATTGTTTATCTGAAAATATTTCTGAGTGCTCGTCAGCGGATCCGCAAAAATAGAGGTAATTTATTTACCATTGTTTTTTCTTCCAAATACTTTTATTGCTTTCCCGCTCTACATTATACTCGCTAATCACCTAAGCTCCAAATACAGAAAACAATTTTGAAAGAACATACAAAACTCCTGCTATCTACGAAGCTTTTACGACTTCATAAATATTAAGTAGAACAAGGGGTGTATTTTTGATAGAGAAAAGCACCTCTACATAGATACTGATTTACACAAAATCAAAAGCAGCTTTGCCCAGCACTGAACGCCTCTTTTATAAACGCTATGCCCCTTCCATAGCTCATTTGAGACACATGCTACAAGATCATGTGCATGCATTAAATGAACGGTCGTAAAAAACAAAATGGGGATGGCAAGCTCTGCGCAACGCAAGCCCTTCCACATTAAAGGTTATTTTCAACAACATTTGAAAGTGGGATATACTTTTATTCTAGCTCTAAATTCAGTGGCCTTGCCTTGTTACCAACCAGCTCGTACCACAGAGCTTTATTTGGCAACTCAAACTTGGGTAGCGAAGCTCGTTGTGAAATCAAATGCATTTCAGATATACATCTACAGTGACAATGAAAATCTTATAAAGGCGCACATGGATGAAAAACTGATACTGATATCAAAAGAGCTATGTAAGCGCACTTGTAATACCTGAGATTAATGTTTTTTGTTTGCTTATTCAAGCGCATTTTGATTTTTGGATAGTGATTGACAGCGCACCGAAAATGATACAGCAACACTAAAGGGTGATTGAAAGCGCACGGAAAATAATTATCCGAAAAGAATACTATCTGAAAGGAGCGCTGAATTTTAATGAAGACTGCATTGGCATAAGTAATGACATTTTGCATAGCCGCAATGGAAGGTAAGATTTGAAATGTTCCTCTCATCGTCGAGGGTCGGATGGGTTTGTGATCTGCACATTGGAGATATCTTCCTGTTACTGATATTCCACATTGATCGCGCATTCTGTTACTGATCAGATATTCCACATTGATCGCGCATTCTGTTACTGATCAGTTAAGATGATAAAACTGAATGGGAAACTGTAATTTTGCAGCTCACGTTTGGAAAACGCGATATTAATACATGCATCAACGTCAATGAAATTAGCATGAGAAGTCTGAAAATTTTCTTTTCAATCTCATGCTTAGTTTTGCGCAACATGTATGCAAAGGTTCACTTAGACGAGCCGTAAGATCGACATAACTCGTTCATGGGTGAAATGAAGATCATTAGATGCAGTAGATCTTTTTCAGCTGAGCACATTTTTTTTTGATTCGATATCACAAATGAATACAGCATGAACTCAAAAATTTTATCCAGAACACAATAACCTACAAGTATTTATTGAAACGAGGCATAGATAGCTTATCATGCGTTGTTAGCCGCAAACCGGTGGTACAAGTGTAACCAATTGCCTGAACAGAGTAGATCTTTGCAAATAAAAAAAATGTGAAAACTTTTACCTGTTTGGGTCTTACAATATCGCTGGTAACTTGTGAAAAGAAAGCGCGAATTGAAGTGGACTCTGGCGACGGTCGAGTCCATTTCAATTCGCGTTTTCTTTTCACAAGTCGAGCAGTATCGTATTTCAACAAACCCTGATACAACCGTATAAGATATAGCATTTCCTTGTGTATGCAATAGCTGAAAAGACTAACAAGTTGCCTTACGCTCACGTACAAAAATGAGCGAGGCATTGGCTACTGCTTCTCCAGAAGATCTTTTTGGTCCACATGGTCGCACCAATTCCAATTCTAAAGTTCATCCTTAGCCTTCAGTCTCTCAGTCTAATTGCAAGTGGAAAATATGCTCCACTGTGCAGCATATAGACATACAGTTCTTAACACAAATATCAGCTATATTCTTGATAGTCCAGTTGTGCCCAATTCTGGTCAAGATTCAAGAATTATGATTTTGAGTGTGCACGTATAGATTTGTGTAAATTCTGGCTGTTAAGGCTAGAAGCGAGTTGAAAGCAATTTTAGAAAGGAAACGATTAATGCTTTTGAAGGAGGGCAAGCGTTAGGCGACAAAACGTGCAAAACGCAAGCAACGTAAATCCCCTAACTCAAAACTATGCACCATTTTTGCATTGGCGTCGGGTAATGTATCGGCCCCGACCACCACCCCCCTGTTTTTGGCGGAGGAGACGTTTTGCACGGGGAGTTCTTTGGGGTACAAAAAATTGGGTTTGTCGCCTAACGCCCTACACACGCTTTTGAATAGTGGGCAAAATCTGCCTAAAAGCTGCTTCTAAAAATCATGCTCAAATTCTGGAAAACTTTATAGCCATTACAGTTAATTATGTTTGTGATGTAACTTCAAGTCGGTTTAGATCAACCAGATGAACACAAGTGGATCTTTTGTAAAGATCGTGAGGCATAGAAATCGAAAGAGGTTTCACATGGGGATTGAGCAAGCACGTACGCTGCAAAATTAAAGTGGAGCAACTCTATATGTGAAGTGAAAAGCATGCATCCTATAGCAACTGACTTGATAAATAATCAGTGACATAAATAAGAATAGTGATGCATAATAAACAGTATATAGCATGGCTAATCGATACAATTACTAAATAGCACTGATAGTAATTATATCAATTTAGTACATGACAGTAATTGTATCCAAAAAAAACTTATGATTTATTACTTTTTAGGACGCAGTGCTCTGATGCGCATACAGACGACGCCTCCCGACGTTGATGAGCGCAGGCGACGAATGAAACGGTACTCATCTGAAGATGAAAAAAGCAATAACCGATCCGGAGAGCAGACGCGCCTGGTACACAAATCTGATAAAGTGGCCAAGGTTGAAATCTCACCTCGCCCTTTTTTCCCACAAGTTCTAAAATCTAAATTATCAGGCATTTGATAGCAATAGCAGTGTACGGAGGCTAGAGTCCAAGTATATGAGCCTTCAAAACCACACCAAACCAAAGGAAAACGAGGAAGAGGTGGCAAGTTATTTACTGGATCGTACTGTATTTTTTGACTTAAAACAGTTTTGTATTTGTCGGCCTTCGACAAAGATTTGCTCGAACAGCAACAGATACTAACAAGAAGTTGGAGCGGAAGTTCTCGAAATCAAAAACCACGTTGTGAAGCTCAGTGCGCTGAGAAAAACTTTAGCTAGCTACTGAGACCTCATTCCGAAGGAAGTAAATGCTCTAACAAAAAATTCGCATCATGAGAATATCAGTTAACAATGAATAAGTTTCAAATCGCGTTCTGCTAGAGACCTCAGTAATGTCGGATTATAATCTTTCATTCAACGTTGCTCCCAAGCGCATAAAGCTACTTTTTGATACATGATACAGCTAAATATGAAGCTTTCAAACTTTCCTCAAAAGCTCACACTTTCCCCTAAGTAATATATCAGTCTACCAGCGAGCAAGATTAAATACCAAAAAATCAATCTAGAAAGAAGATCTATAGCATTACATCCCAACCCGCAGCTTGCAGGTTGCAATAGTGGAAATTTTTCTGGATGTCCCTGGTTCCTGCATACCGTACTCACGATCAAAACTACTCGAAGTAGTTTGCTTCAACCTCCATTTATTGTCTTTAATGAAACAAGTATCTGTTCTGTTTTCTAAAGCTCAGGAGAATGTAAGAGCTAGGCATCTATGCTATGTCTCTCACCTACATTGGAGTTGTGAAGTGGAGCACTTATGTGAAACTAAAAACTTCAACTTCACAAATTCAAATAATCAGGAAGAACTTAGAGCTTTCTAATTGCTCAACATGCTCCTTCTTAACATATTTTTGTCTATTGGCAGATATCACACAGCTTGACGAAGTTCAAAGATTCAAAAAATAGAGGCAACCACGCAGAATTTTCAGTCTATTGAAAAGTACGCAAACAGTGTAAGCCTACCCCTATGCTTTTTTTTCAGCGAGCTACCACAGATCAAGCTCCCCTTCATGCGCATGAAGAGTCAAGGATTATCTTGGAGATTAGATAAAGCTTAGAGCACAGTGTGGCGCTCAACCTATGGACTTTAGTAAAACTCAAAATCCTTGTCAAGAAGTTCTATCACATAAATGGTATCGAAGTGACAAGAAAAGGGTCCAAAAAAGGGTCCAAAGCAGGGCCAAGCGTGCTGATGCGATCCGGGACCCTCATTTACGATCCCCCCCCCCTTGAAGGTACCCATCCGTACAACCCCCCCCCCTCTTCCCCCTCCTCTCCCCCCTCCCTACCCTCCACTCATTGATCCCCCTTACTTCCCCTTCCCACATTCCTCGCGGTAACCTGCATAAACGAATGTCAATCTCAAAAAACACCTGCGTGAGAACTTCAGTGAGGTTTCGGAAGCAGAATTTCTAGCCCAATGGGTGCGTCCATCATCTGTAGCACACATACACACCTTTAATAATGTTTGAGATTCTGCAAGTTTTTTTTGAATTTTCAGGCATACTTCAGGCCAGCAAATTCGATTCCCGTAAGCGACACAAATTTTTGCATGGAGAAAAAATGACATTCTGAACTACAAAAGATGTTTTCGACTAAGAAGCTTACTTCCTACCTCTTCCACAGTTTTCCCCGCGAAAAAACCGCTTGAGCGCCGTCCAGAACGACGTCAAAAACGTGCATGAGCACGGTAGTTTGAAAATTTGTAACTAAGGCCAGGAAAAGACTGAGAGGCTGCAAAGCACAGGCTCTGTAGCATAGTGCCCAGACTATCCAAAGAAAAAGTTTCAGCTTTTGAGAAGCAGTAAGCTCGAAAAAATCTAGATGCGACTCTCGCAAATTTAGATGCAATCCTAGAAAGCAAAAAGTGGGATTTTTGAGCTTGAAATTTTGTAACTTACCAGAGAAGTTTTAAAACAGCCTGCAATTTTTACGAGGGAAAGTAGGAGGATGGCCTTATATTACAGCAGAATTGCAGCCAACAAGCTTCAATAGCTCCGGAGAAATTTAGATGCGACCCAGATACGACCCCCCTTTCCTGACTTTTTGCTACCATACATCTTATATATAAAGCTGAATGTCTGTTTGTATGTCTGTATGTCTGTATGTCTGTATGTATATCTGTCTGTCTGTACGTATGTTCCGAATAGAAAATTCCATTTCTAAACCGATCGGGACCAAACTTGGCACACATACACTTCGGGCCCCGGCGGTTGTCATAGGCTACTTTTCGTCATCGATCGATATCGATTTTATCGATTTTTCGCAAAATTTGAGCTACGGGGCTGGGAGTTGGCACAGGGGGGTAATCGAGCATGCTGATCACCCCCGTGGGGGTGATCAGCATGCTCGATTACACCCCCTGCCAAATTCCAGCCCCGTAACTCAAATTTTGCAAAAAATCGATAAAATCGATATCGATCGATAGCGAAAAGTAGCCTATGACACCCGCCGGGGCCCGAAGTGTATGTGTGCTAAGTTTGGTCACGATCGGTTCAGAAATGGAATTTTCTATTCGGAACATACAGCGGAGCCGGGTAAGCCAGCTAGTAAAATCATAAGAAAATCCACAGTTGACAAAATAACACCAAATTTTGCACTGATATAGCGGAGCATCTCAAAAGTACAGATAAATCATATGAGCCCGTAAAAAACATTACAAAAAGATTTGGAGTTTTATGATTGTCACAGCTGGTAAAGACATTCGCTTTAGTCGAGTGTGTGAGACTTCAGGAAAGCTTCAGAAGCAAGATTTCTAGGGCAATCGGTACATTTAGCATTTTTATCAAATAATACATCCTTCAAAAGTGTTTTGAGCTCTTGTAAATGTTTTTTTTGAGAATTTCTACAGATTTTTTATCTTTTTTATTCTGATTTCCACTTCTTCATAGATTTATTGTAAAGAACATAACTAATTGCTTGCTTTTTGATTCCCTTTGAAGCCTAGGGTATTTTAGTCTAACTACCTCCTCTTACGACCCCCCCCCCACCTTAGATACCCTCTTACGACCCCCCGTTGCGACAGTCGCATCACAAGCTTGACTCCGGTCCAAAGTTTCTTAAAAAGGGCTTACATACAAATGCGATGGAAGAACACTCGGAAGAATTAGCTGAAGTTCACATCTTTTTCTTTGATATTCTAATTGAAAGTTTTTTTCGAAATGTAATGATTAGCGAATGAGAAGCTCGAAGGATATAGTGAAACTTACTCTTCGCTTGCATCTTCAAATGAAAAATTCACTGTCATCGTGAGGTGCATTATGATGGACTGTACCCTCAAGGGATGATTTCACTCAGACTCATCCAACTCTTTTCCAATTTGTAGCCAAAATGTTGTTGATTTAGGGTTTTAAAGGGGGGGGGAAGTGCTTTGGCTACTACCTGCAACTTCTCAAATAGAAGACCCTCGCACGA